TCTGTGCACATCCAAGTACGTGAACCTTGGATGCTTGCTCACGGCACACGAAATAAAGGCTTTCATTCAGGCCTTTTCCATCTTCTAGCATGCCTCCTGCGTGGACTGCACTTCACATGCTGTTGAACACGTGCATGAGTGACCCCCTGACCAGGCCCCTGTGGCCAGAGCTGACTCACCGAATGGAGTGTTGTGTCAGGTGTGTGTTCTTCCTCTGTGCCTGCGGCTGCAGAGAGTTATCTTAGGATTCACCTTGCAGTACAGATGAAGAAGATTCGACTCTGCCGAACCCAATGGTGAAGCTTTGTTTAGGAGTCCTTGGAACTGCTTTTAGCTCCCCGCCCCCACCTCCATTCTGCTGTGGCTGTGTTTGTGGGTGAGCGGCCTGCCAGGACCCACTGTTTGGGGACAGCTGTGACAGGGCGGAAGACCAAGATTTGTAAATAGCTCTTTCCTTGGGCTGCAGAAAAGGAAGAGCGTTGGGTGGAGAGGATGCTACTGCCATCCTGTCCAGAGCGAAACTCCAAAGAGGGAGATCACAGGTTTCCTTCAGTATTAGGTTTGCTCGGTCTGTTCCCTGAACCCCAGAATCTCTAGCTGGGCCTCTTGCGGAGATGCTGATCAGAGAAAGAGGGCCGGAGAGGGCTGGGGTTTGCCTTGTTGTCATCTTGTCTGGTTTTGAGGGAGTTTAATGCCTTTGCAGTCGTTAGGGGGAGGTCCTGGAGGACTCCTGCTGAAAGGAAGGACAGCTTGACCCTGAGTTTAGTAGGAGGTGGCTGGCACCTGGTGGGTTGCTAAGCTAGTGTGGCTGCGAGATGCTGACTTCCCAGCTCCTTCATGGCGTTCCAGTAGGACCTAAAAGTCCTTGTCTGGAAGGGTGCCAAGAGCTGCCTAACCAGTGGTTCCGCTCTCTCACTGCTATGGTGTGTGCCTTGCTCTTGGCCTCTTAGTGGTGCTGTTTTCTTCTAGACTCCCTTGTATGAGCACCACCTCTCCCAGTTCTCCCTGCTCATTTCCTTTCCGTCCTCTTTTTATCAAATACAGTTAGACAAGTTTGGTGTTAAAAATGGCTGGGAAAGGTGAGATGTAATTGCTGGTGACTCCTCGTTTGGCAGGTGCAGAGGGGGTCCAGACGTCGTGGTTGATGTCTTCATGTCGGGGTGTACCTCGGGCTCACCATAGTGAAAAGACTGCCCCAATGTCAGCTCGCGTTAACCCACACTCTTCATTTCTTTTAATTCATCTTCTCGTTGGCAAGCTCACTGTGAGTGTGTCCGCGTGCGGCAGTCTTTGACGTGTACTTGTCGTGGAAGGACACTTCAGATTCGCACCTAAATGTGTCTGTGTGGTGTTTGTACTCGTCCATTTCATTCAGCATAGTGTCCTCCGGGTACATTTATTCTGCTGCAAATGACGGGATTTCCTCCTTTTTCAGGGCTGAGTAGCATCCCACTTCCTTTTCCTGATCATTTGTCAGTGGACCCTCCTGTTGATTCTGTGTCTTGGCCTGTTATCCCAGCTTTGGGGAGGTAGAAGCAGAATGACCAAGAGTTCGAGGCCACTCTGGGCTGCAGGAGGCCCTATCACAATAATAAAGATGTACTTTTGTGTCCTTTGCCCGTCTTTACACTGCCTTGTTTTCCTGCAGTCAGTTGTGTCCATGTGTGTTTCAGATGTTAGCTGCTTCTCAGGTGCGTGACCTACAGGTGTTTCTCGTGTTCTCTGCCGCTTGTTTCCATGGCTGCTCAGTTGGCTCATCCCTAATACTTCTTTCCTGTGGCTCTGAGTCAGTATGTGAGGCTTCCTGGAGAGGCCCACCTTGTTAGGAGCACCGTGGTGCTTTCGTTTCTTTGTGTTGGTTCTTCCGCGTAAAAGGCCTCGCGGTGAGAGCACGTGGCTGCCTTATTCTGACTGCTGTGGTAGAACGCTGCGTCCACAGGGAAGTGCCCCCAAGGTCACCACTAAGAACAGTTCTCGGTGAGCACTTGTCTGCTTTCACCCCTAGCGTCTGTGTCCTGTGTGTTTGTAAAATGGGGCACTTCTATTTCAGTGAGGTTCTTTCCCAGGCTTTCAGCACGCTGCACTCACGTCAGGACACACAAGCCCAGCTCTCCATTTTTACTGTTAACGGCTGTGTTGTATTTCATGTTGTGGGTGCACCAGCGTCTTAACTGCTTGTCTCTTGGTGTGCGTGTGCTTTTAGAATCTCTCTCTTCTCGTGAAGTAGTCCTGTGTGAGCATGTGCTGTGTGCACATGTACAAATGTTTCTCTTGGATAGTTGCCTGGAAGTAAAGCTGCTGGCTCCAAGTGAACGCTATTCTTGGTTTTGATAAATGCTGCCAAATTGTGTTCCCAATGGAGTTAACTAACTTCAACCTGTTGTGGTGGTGTGCTTGCTTTCACGAACACATGATAATTCCACATCAGATAGGTGGAAAGTCGTACATAATGGTGTACTTTGTGTTCTTTTTCGCTGCATCAACTTTCTACTTTTTAAGACTGTCTCATAAAAGGGTTGAGGGTTCAGGTCAGTAATTGCCTGGCCATACAATCACGAGGATCTGAACTCAGTCCCCAGCATTGAATAAGGTGTGTTGGCATACCCTTATAATCCCGGTGGGGAGGATTGACAGGAGGGCCACTGGGGCTTGCTGGCCACCCCATCTTGTTTAATTGGTGAACTTCAGATCCTGGTGAGACCTTGTGTCAGGAGAAAGTAGACAGCGCCCATTGAAAACATTGGAGGTTGCCCTCTGAGTCCCCGCACTACAAATTTCTCAAAAAGCCAGATGTCATCGTTTGTGTCATCCCAGTACCCAGGAGTTTGAGGCCAGCATGGACTGCTGTTTTTCCTGTCAGCTCATTAAACCTTAGGGTGTGGGGGGGTCGGGGGGCGGTAGTGAAGTAGCTCAGCAAGTTCAGTGCGTGTTGCCAAGCCCACGATTGAGTTTGGCTAGCAGGAGGAAGGAGAGAAGCAACGTCCAGAAGTTGTTCTCCCACCTCCACAGTGTGCTATAGCACACTTGCCCGCAGCCTCCAATGTGATGTAAAAGTCTTTTACTCTTTAAGCTGGGGTTGAAGTGAACTGTCCTGACCAGTTCTCTGCTACAGCTCTTTCTGAGATCACTTCTGACACTTGCTACAGTCTTTTCTCTGCCTTATTCAGTGCAGGGTAGCCGGGGTGATGGGTGGACCACTCTGCCCAGGCTGTAGTACCGGCCTTGTTTGTAGGTGTTCCTGTAGTGATCCAGCTTCTAGCACGCAGGCTTGAAGACTGTGTCCAGATGGTTTCACTACTGATTCCTGGTTCCCACTGAAGAGATGCTCAGTGGTTAAGAACATCTGCTCCCACAGAGGACCTGTGTTCAGTTCCCAGCACACACGCGGTGTCTCACAGCCACCAGCTCCAGGGGACCTAATGCTTGTCTGACCTCTGCAGGCGCCAGGCACACGTGACGCTTAGACACATACACAGGCGAAATACCCATGCACATAAGAAACAGATCTAAAACAATCAGCATAATGGTTTTCTGTATGAGAGGACGGCAGCCAAGCTGATTTCTGACCAAACTGAGCTCCGACACTGTCCACTTACAGTGACTTTAAAAGGCAGAACCCTTGTGCCGGCCTCACAAACATAGACATGAAAATTCAATATTGTGTTTCAAAGCAGACACCGCACAGTGTGTACCAGCCAGACCCTCGCAGGTGGCAACAGATAAGGTCACTCCCAGAATGAGAGTAGCTTAATATAGAAGCTGAAGCAACGCTGTGCTTAGGTCATTGGACATGAAAGTTGGTTATTTTCATAGATGCCAAAAATGCATTTCGATTAAACAACTCTCCCTGATAATACTTTTAAAAGGGAAGGGCGGGATGCAGCTCAGTGACAGAATGACTCCCTAGCAGCTTGAAGGAGACCCTGGGCTTAAAACCATAAAACGTTAAGAGAGAGGGGGTGCTTCCAACTGTCAGTGCTGGCAGAATCAGAAACAAGCAAGGACTTGATGTTTGAGGCTCTAACCCGGGCTGGGAGATGGGAGACAAGTCAGAATTAGGGCTTTGAGAGTTGAAGGAGGTGACATTGTTTCCCATACGGTGTTTCTCGTGGAGATGAGATCCTCCAGTGATAGATTTTGTCAGTGGATACACACATCTGAAGATAAGACGTCGTGGTTTATCAGCATCCACAGGAGGCTGACTTCAGTAATCCTTTGTGTAAAAAAATAGTGTGTATCCACGGGATGTTATCCATGTGCTTTTGATTGCTCATAATTAATATGGTGTGACTGCTATACAAACGGCTTTTGTTATTCTTTTCCTTTTTTTTTTTTTGAAACAGATTACTGTGTAGCTCTGTCTGTCGTGGAACTCACAGAAATCAACTTGCCTCTGGAGTGCTGGCATCAAAGGCATGGGCCAACACTTCAGCCTTATGCAAACAGGTTTTAGACTATATTGTGTATAATTTGGGTTATAATGATAAGAAAGGGGGCTGGGTATGTTCAGTAGAGATAGATTTTTAATGCCTGTTTCAGCCAACTATCTTTTTGGAGGAAGGAGACACAGTCTGGTTTGTGTTAACTCAAGCACCCTTCTGCATTTCTGACAGTGTTGGGTGCTGTCTTAGTCTGTGATCTGTACTGAGGTAGCTCCTGGCTCCACTCACCAGAACAGGGTGATGCTTAGCAGCCATGTCTGGCTAGGTGGCTTGGTTTTGTGCTGTTTGAGTGATATCTCTTTGAGTTGGGAACCCTCAGAGGCCTAAGATCAAAACCGAGTAAGTGATGCCACCCAGATGAGCCAACGGATGCTGAGCTGGCCCTTGGGTTGACTCTGCGGCCTTCTCCTTAGGCTCCTTGCTCAGTAGGTCACTGTAGGTGCTGTGCACCACCGTCCGCATGAGCAGTCTGTGGAAGCTTCTGGTTTGGTGATCTGCTACATCATTAGGGAACTGGATCTTCAGATTTTGCAATCTCTCTCTCTTTTTCCTTATCAGCATGTGGAGGGGGCCGAATGTGAATTGCGTAGACAGCACCGGCTACACGCCGCTCCACCACGCTGCGCTGAATGGCCACAGGTAAGCACCAGGGCCCTCCTCTGCCCACCCTGCGGAGCCCAGCTCAGGTGTCTCTCTGCCTCTTATGAGGACAGAGAGAAGCAGAGTCCACACAGACCATGCAGACACTGAGTTCCTCTTCAGTGAATGACATAAGCATCTTTTTCTGCCCCACCCCCAGAAAGACCTTTAGAAAGAAGTGAATTTCACCTTTTCTCCTGATGATCTCTTCCTGTCTGGAGTATTCACACAACGGTGGTGACCGTGAAGACCAGACTCAGAGCGGCCAGATCATAAAGATCCTGGCCCACAGGCACCCATCCCTTGATGAACACAGTAGATGGGGGAGGGATGAGAGGCTGACTTTCTGTCTGGATAGCTGCCATTCTTCCCTTGTAAGATCAGCCTTGTGAACAGTGATTCCTGTAGAGGGGGAAACTGTGTACACGGCCCACGTAATCCTCTGGAGTCTAAGGAGGTTATTAGAACTTGAGTGGGGCATGTGTGTGGAAAGTTTTCTGGAGAAGATGAACTCAGGGAAGCTGAGAGTTCCCTGCTGGGAGTCATCAGTGAACCAATGTCAAAATCTCAGCACAGTACAGGTGCAGTCATGGGGTGTGGGGCGGGTTTGCTCAGATGTGGAAGAGCAGACACAAAGGGGACAGAAAAGATGGTGTTGAGAGTCAAGCAAAGTCCCCAAGGAGGAGGAGCTGCGTGGGTGAAGTGCTGGTGGCAGGGACCAGGGACTCACTGGGATCCCCACCCTTCCTTTTCTTTGGTGCTTTGCCACTAACCCACATGCTCAGCCCTCATTTTATACGAACAAGGAAGCTTCTGTCACCTGGCCAGTGTGCGGCCACTTGATGGTTTGCTCCAGCACTGAACTCTTCTCAAGTTGAATGTGGACACCGTTTCTTTTCTAAAACAACTTTAAAGCTAAAGCCCAGGACCAGTGAGATGGTTCAGAGGGTAAAGCACTTGCTGCGTGCCAGTGCCCGGTGACCCGACCTTGATCCCCGGGACCCATGGTGGATGTAGAGAAATGACTTCTGAAAGTTGTCCTCTGACTTCCGTCTGTGCTCCATGGCACATGGTATATGCACAAAGAGAGAAAAGAAATATATTGAGACCCCTCTCAAGTAGCTGGGAAAGTCTGAATTAATGTGACCTCTCAACTCAGAGGTGGCAGTTTGCTAGCCAGGTTCCTCTCCAGGGCCTGTGTGTAGTCACAGGGAGGGTTTTCTTTGACCTTGTGTGCCTGGGGATAATCACACATTTGTGTCTGCCTAATTAGCAATGTCACCATGAAGAAAGCCAGAGCCGCCTTTTTGAAGCTATGAGATGATGCTCTGTGTATCTGGCTTATGTCTGTGACACGGACTTTGCTCTGTCCTCATTCAGTTCCCACATCCCCAAGGCATTGGACTAGGTAGTGAGGAACATCACTTGCCGTGTTTGACTGCTTCTGTGTAAATGCTGAACACTATTTAACTGCCACAAACTGGGGAGAGATGCACAGTTTAGACAAGGAGTCCAGACGTTTTCAAAGTAGTGGGAAATAGATGGGTTATCAAGGAAGGCCAGGGGAAGGTGAGTCATTGCTCGCAATGACACATCAGTGGCCATGGGCCTTAGAAGAAGATCTGGCGGTGAGCTCAGAGGAGGTGACGTCAGAGAGCTGCAGGACACCGTGGGAAGACCTCTGGTTCCATAAGCTCATGGTGGATTTTTGCTTTCTAGGGATGTGGTTGAGGTCCTGCTGAGGAACGACGCGCTGACCAATGTTGCTGACTCGAAAGGCTGCTACCCGCTGCACTTGGCAGCATGGAAAGGAGACGCCCAGATAGTGCGCTTGCTCATCCACCAAGGGCCCTCGCACACCAGAGTCAATGAACAGGTCGGGAGAGAGACTGTCCCCAGACATGAGCAGCTCAGGACATACTCCTCCTTCTCTAGGCTGACCCCTCATCCGGAGTAGTGGGGACATTTTGTTCTGGAGGATGATTGGTTTGTTTTGTTTCTGTTTTTCTCTGTGTAGCCCTGGCTGCCCTGGAACTTGATCTGTAGACCAGGCTGGCCTCAAATGTAGAGATCGGCTGGGACCAAAGGCATGCCCCGCCACACCAGGCCTGGAGGATGCATTTTATTGAGCTGTATTTTGTTTGTTTGTTTGTTTGTTTGTTTTCGAGACAGGGTTTCTCTGTGGTTTTGGAGCCTGTCCTGGAACTAGCTCTTGTAGACCAGGCTGGTCTCGAACTCACAGAGATCCGCCTGCCTCTACCTCCCAAGTGCTGGGATTAAAGGCGTGCGCCACCACCGCCCAGCTTGAGGATGCATTTTATATGCAGCTGACACATGCGAATTTGGTAGAGTTTCACACTTGCACAGATACTCACAGTATAAAATTTGATGCAAATCTTTCAAAATGATATAGAGTTAGTTTCAAACTCAAGATTCCATAATTACAATCTGTGCTTGTGCCATCGGCATGCAGCACAATGTTCCTGGCGTTTGTCAGTGCCCTGTGAGCTAGCCTGTCATTTTACACACATCAGAATGTGTAGAAGTGAGCGTGTTTGTGCTAGTGCTGAAAAGATGAGCTCACAACTCGAAACCGTGTAGATGCGGGTCAGAGGTGAGCCGGTGGAACAAAGATCATTTCCATGGTGTCCTCCTCCAAGGCTGCTTTAAGAGTGAGCATACTTTGAGAAACCACAGCTATTAGAAAACAGAAAGGCAGTGTTCAGGGAAAACTACCTCACTGAATTTGGTAGCACCTGCCTGTAATCTCAACCCTTGGGAAGTGCAGACCAAAGGATCAAGGGTTTCAAGGTCATCCTTGACTGTGTAGTTAGAAGACAGCCTGGGCTGCGTGAAACCTTGCCTCAGCGAGTAAGGAAAGAAGGAAGAACGGGAAGAAGGAAAGAAGAACAGAAGGATGAAAGGGAGGTAAAAATTACCCAAGCTAGCTATCGTGGTTGGTGTACAGCCTGCATCCGCACACTCAAAAGGCTGAGGCAGAAAGTTCAGAAGTTCCAGGGAAGCCTAGACTACAACATGAGGCCCTAATCTGAAAAGAAGAAAGAGAGAAGAGAATCAGCAGAACCTTACAAGGCCCCTGCATTTAATCCTTAGAACAGCTTCTTTGTTCTTGGAGAGAGATTTCATTACAAGGCTCTGTAGTTTGTCTTTTCTTTTCTTTTTTATTTATTTATTTTTTTTTATTTTTATTTTTTAAATTTATTTATTTATTAAGGATTTCTGCCTCGTCCCCGCAACCGCTTCCCATTTCCCTCCCCCTCCCCCGATCAAGTCCCCCTCCCTCATCTGCTCTGTAGTTTGGGTCCCAGGAGTAGGTCCCTCGGGGAGGGGCTGTGTCGTCCCTGCTCCTGCAGTGCGCACTGTGCTGCTCCTTCTCAGTGGAATGTCAGGTACAGTCGTCAGCAAGGCCCACACAGTTTTCCACTGAGAGCTGCCAGAGCGTGGCTTGATTCTGAGAAGGGAGGTCGTCAGTTCCAGGTGCTCCATGTGGAGCCTGGGTGTGGCAGTGGTCTGCCAGCCTGCCATCTCCTCGTGGGCGGGGCTTCCTAGTAGGTAAGCAGCAGGCATCAGACCGTTGGTGAGGATGCCTGTGTACGCCATGAGGACGACGGTGGTGTGATTGCCTCTGTGAGCCTGAGTGTGGTTCTCCTGACTGAAACATTTCTCTCCTCTCTGGAGGAAGTGCAGAGAGAAGCTTGCTTGTAGCTAATTCTCTTCAATGTTGAAAAGCTGCCCACCATTGAAGTCCTTCTCACTCCAGCAATCGCAGCGATCATTTCTAATACTGTCTTCGCCCACTTTGCCTTGACACACAGCTGCTTGGGTCTGTGAGCCACTTGAGTGTGCTAGCTTGTCTTGCTCACAGCTGCCTCCTGCCTGGAGTAGGCAAGGGTAGGGGATGCCAGCCCAGTGCTTGACCTTTGCAGGCGGGGGCTGGACAGGCTGGCCAAGGTGCTGGAAGAACCGAATGGTTCTGGGCAGTTAGAACCGTGCCAGTGGTTTTAAAGCATTAACGTGGCTCCATCGGATGTGTGGATAAGAGTGAGGGTCCCTGGAGCTGCCCTCTCTTTGACTCCCCCAGGTACCCTGAGCTCAGATCCAGGTCGTTTAGCCCTGAGCCCCAGAGCTGCGTGTCACTTTGATATATTTCGTCCATTTTATCGTCACATTGTCTTTTCCTTCCTTTTTATAGAATGCTCTTGAGATCAAAGAACTCAAAAAGTACGGCCCCTTTGACCCTTATATCAATGCCAAGGTGTGTACGTGACGGCCAGGACCCATATCGTCCATGCTGTTTCTCCATGCTGCACCTCTGCCGTGGTCCTCTGTCTGCCTCCCAGGCTCCTCATCACCCTCCTGCTGCCTGCCTCAGCCCATCTGCTTTTGGCTTGTTTAGGGAGCACAGGGGCCGAGGCTTTATTTTTCAAACCATGCAATCCAGGAAAGCTTGGAAACATCTGAAGCAGCAGGAATAGGAACCGGGACCTCAGCGTAAGCCTGCTGTATTGCTTCAGCAAAGGGACCCAGCAGACAGCAACAATCACAGAGGATGACTGAAGCGGACTTCCTTCTCCTTTCTTTCTGCTCTCACGTTTCTTTTGAAGTAGAATCTGACTTTCTCTCAGGTTTCTGTGGCCACAGTGGTGGTGTGGGGGACACAGGTGCCGCACTTATTCCTTCAGAAGCTGTTGCTGGCCGCCCTCTCCCTGGGTGTGTGCCTCTCTGTGTTACCCATCATCACTTCTCTTTCTGCTTTGTCATTGTGACCCTGACGGGTTCTGGCCTGGTGCCTGGAGCGACAGTGCTTTGCTAGACCTACCTGAGCAGCTGCCCTCATGCCGGGAGACTTCTCCTTAGAGCGGCAGAGCTCAGCAGGTGGTGGGTACGGTTCCTGTCCTCATGTGCTAACTCAGATGAATTTTGGGCTGGTGCGCATGCACATGCTTTTCTCTGTCTCTGCTCCAGCCCTCACCCCTCTAACTGAACCCCCTGTGTAAGTGTGTGTATGTGCTGTGTGCGCATGTGCATGTGCGCATGTCACGGGGTTGCGTGTCTTCCTTAGTCACTCCCTACCTTATTTTTGAGTCAGGGTCTCTCACGGAACCTGGAGTTCGCCAATTTGGCTGGACTGGTTGGCAGTGAGTTCGCAGGATTCACCTCCCAGTGCTGGAATGCATACTGCCATGCCCGGTTTTGTCCACGGATGCTGGAGAGCTCGGCGTGTGCCCTTGTGTCTGTGTGGCAGGCCCTCGACCGGCTGAGCTGCCTTCCAGCTCGAAAACTGCTTCCTGAGTGCAGTCTGGAGTTTGGTCTAGACATGAAACTATCCTGGCTGGTGTTTTATGCTTGCTCAGAATGCAACCGTCCTGGGGAAAGGAAGCATACTCTGCTTCCAGGGTTTGCACTTGACAGGCAGGGACATCGTCCTTTTCGTCAGATGGTTTGATCTGAGGCAGTCAGTGCATCCACTCTGTTCTGGTATATTCTTTCTGTGTTCTCAGAATCAAACAGGGGATGCTTACTGGAGCAGCCTTGGGGCAGAGGCAGGGAGCAGAGCAGTAGAGCAGAGTCTTGCCAGCCAGGCCTTCTCCCAGGCCTTACTCTATGAGTTCTGGCTGCTGCGGATTTCTCCCAGCTTTGGTTCACTCTTTTATAACGTGGGTTGTTACTACTTTCCTTGTTGGTTGTTTTGGAGTCATGGTCATAAAGTATCTGGTGACTAACAATATGTGAAATGCTCTGAAATGTCTGTGCAATCTGCTGGGGTTTTTTTGTTTTGTTTTGCTTTTTTTTTTTTTTTTTTTTTTTTTTTTGTGGTAAAAGGGCCTCACTATGTAGTTCTAGCTGCAGACCAGGCAGGCCTTGAACTCACAGAGATCCTTCTGTCTCTACTTCCCAAGTGCTAGGCTTAAAAGTGTGCCCCACCATGACACCTGGCTACCTGTGCTGTTCTGAAAAGGCACCAGGTGATGTTTCCAGTGCTGCTGGGTGGTTAGCAAAGAATCGCTCAGTTTGCTCAAGCTTTGGTTTGGCGAGGGGGATCTGAATGACTGTTTCCACCTGCGATTGAATTGGCTTTTGAAGCGTGAATTAATGCTGTGCCTTTGGTTCTTGGAAGTGCTTTCCCTAGCTTTTGATTTCGTGGACAGAACAGAAGATTTGAGTCAGTGAACGTTTGTGTCTGGAAGCCGTGCTCTGTGCTTTCTCCCTTGAGGGTGCACACAGCACCAAGGGCTGAGCTGGGCTGTCTGTGTTGAGGATGCCGGCCCTTCTGGGTCAGAAGGTCCCACACCCCTAGGTTTTATCTTGACTTGAGGGGGGTTGGCTAGCCTGACCCACGGCTAGGAATTGTTTTACTAAAGCGCATGTGAATGCTAAATCCTATCTGGCTCGAGTACAAGCTTGGAAGGCTCAGGCACCATTTCAGGAGCAGATGTGGATTTCCCAGCTCCCCTGCTCCCTTTCAACACTTTTCCTTTCAACAGTCATCATGGCAGTAAAAACGGACACGAGCTGTAGCTACAGCGGAACTGCGGGAACAGGCACCCTTATAAGACAGCCTCCCCCTGTAGCTACAGTGGAACTGCGGGAATAGGCACCCCTTGTAAGACAGCCTTCCCTTAGTCTGGAAACGAGCTGTAGCTACAGCGGAACTGGGGGAACAGGCACCCCTTGTAAGACAGCCTCCCCCTGTAGCTACAGTGGAACTGCGGGAACAGGCACCCTTATAAGACAGCCTCCCCCTGTAGCTACAGTGGAACTGCGGGAATAGGCACCCCTTGTAAGACAGCCTTCCCTTAGTCTGGAAACGAGCTGTAGCTACAGCGGAACTGTGGGAACAGGCACCCTTTGTAAGACAGCCTCCCCTTAGTCTGGCTGTCACAAAGCAAGCAGCATAGGCAAACTCGTTTTGTGGTAGACCAGTTTTTCTGACCATCCACATCCCAAAGCGGGAAGGACCTTGAACTGGACCTGACTTGACTGCATCAGAAGCTCAGAAGCTGTTGGAGAACCTTCCCTTTGAAGGACTTTTAGCTTAGGAGGGTTCCTATGCCTAGGGCTCTGCTGTGGGGAGCACTTCTTGTGCAGGGCAGTGACATTCCGCCCTTTGCCTTTCTGTCTCCCTATGCGGCTGTGGCCATATGGAGTGATGTGTTTGAGACTAAGTTGTTCATGTCTTGACTCCAAAGCCTTAAGTTTAGTATTAATTGGATTTTCACCCAAAATCTGAGAGCAAAGGCATTAAGTTTATAAAACCGAACAAGGTGTGGGGCACACCTGTATTCTGGCAGAGGCAGAAGAGTTACTGAAAGTCTGAGGCTAGCCTGGGTGAGGCTAGCCCAGGCTCCCTAGTGAGTGATAGGCCAGCCAGAGAGCATGATGGGACCTTGTCTGAAGACAGTAAGGAGACCCTGATGCAGTCACTAAGTTCAGAAAATTCACTCTCCTAATATGCTGTCCATGTTCACACGGACACTTGTCCTCATGATGCTACTTAGTCCTCTCTCCTTACCTCGTCCCTTCCCCTTCCCTTTCCTCCCTCCGTTCCACCTCCCTTTCTCTCCCCTCCAGCCAGCCATGATGAAGCTGTTACTGTGGGTTAGGTTCAGGATCCTTGTGTGGGACAGGGATCCACAGAAGTGATGCCCTTCTCTGTCTCCCTGACGACAGTGGTGCTTGAAGGTGGTTTCATTCCTCAAGGTACAACTCAGGAGGGTCTTGGATCTGCTAGGCAACCACTCAGCCCTGGTTTTGAGACAAGTTCTGGCTGTGAGGTCCAGGCTGGGATTATAGGTGTGTCCTACCAGACCAGCAGAATTTTAAATAATAGTTTTATGTGTCCTTATACTCTGACAGCTTTTTTTTGCCAACTCTGAAGTTCCTGATTATTTTTAAACTCTATGTAGTTCCCAGATGAGTCTTTTTTGAGATGTATTTCTGAGCCAATTTCCTACCTGGAGGGATCCTCGCTCTGTTACCTGAACAGACGATCTTCCGTTTTCTTTCCATGTTTTCCTAGTAATCTGCTGCCCGGCGCATGTGCCTGGGATGCTGGTTGCAGTTTCTCTGCTGGCTGCATGTCTTTCTGCTGTCCACTTTGGTCCAAGTTACGCACTACAGGAGGGAACTGAGCTCTTCTTTACCATCGTGGGGTCAATCTTCTCTTTCTTTCCCGCCTTGTTAATTTTGTACGCATGGCTTTGCCTTTCTTCCTGGTCACGTTTCTAGAACCGGCAGCACAGTTGCAGACGGCTACAGCTCTGGCTCCTTACCACAGGCCTTTGTCCACGGGGACACGTGAGCCTGACTGTGATGGAATATTCCCCCGTGGAACTCCTTCTGTGTGATTTTCTCTGCACACATATGAATGTGTCTATTTGTGAGTTACACATGGGATCCGAAGTTCAGTGGAATCTTCAGAGAAGAGTAGACCCCTGTTTTCTTAGACCTATTGACTGTAGCAGGGAAAACTTAATCTCAAGATGAGTGGGGCTGGAGGGTGAGTGAAAGGGTTTAGTATCAAGTTCAAGGCTAGCCTGGGCCGTGCAACCCTCCCCCAGTTCAGAGTAAGGTGGTGAGTGTAGTGTTGTTCAGAAGAGGTGAAAGGGAAGTACGCCCCATGACTGCGACCTGAATCTGTGCTCTCTTGAGGGTCCATGAATCAGACGACTCCAAGTAGAAACCAGGAGAGCATGTGGCAGTGGCCAGTACTCAGCCATGGTGACGTGGTCACCACAGACAAGCTCAAGGAAGCTAACTACCAGACCGTATCTGGCAAAGCCAATTCACTCTCGGATGCTTCCACACTGTGCCAGTGAGGTGTGGTTAGGTGGTGTTTAGCACCAGGCAGGCAGTGTGCCAGGGCTGACCACAATTGTGCCTTAGCAGGGCAACTTTGGGACAGCTGTCATCTTTCTAGCAAAAACCAACAAAAAGGCCAGAGAAAACCTAAAAAGCACTCAATGTGTTTGCCGTTTTGGTAGGGTACATTAGGGACTAAACCCAGGGCCCTGTGAGCGCTAAGCACTTGTTCTACCACTGAGCCACATTTCCGGCATGTCATTATATCTCTGTCCCCTCTCCTCCCTCCCCCTCTCTGCCTCCTTTTCCCCTTCCTCCCTTGCTGGATGGTTTTGTCTTTAGAGCTTTACAATTTTTCAGTCTCTAAGTCAAGTGTTTTACAAAGTCTAGGACATGTGATCCTGGATGTCAGGCACACGGCCATATGATTGTCTCAGAGTCATTAAGTTTGACTGGTGGAGTTTTATTGACAATAAGCTGACTTTTTGACCCTGATTGGCATGCAAAAGTTGAGGTAGAGACTTTTCTTAAACTTCTTTGGGTGGCATGTTCCAGAAAGCTCCCATGAGCTCTGTTGAAGTAGCCGTGTTTTGTCACCAGGAAGCAAAGCGACAGCCCTGAGTTTGCTCGGGGGGCCTTGGGCCCTAGCTTGGTAGGAGGTGGGCATGCCCAGTGGCCACTGAAAGTTGTGTCCGTGGCTGCTTTTGCCGAGCTGTGCTGTCCCTCCGGCACTGTCCTCTGCGTCTTATTTACTTGTTTTTATCTCTGCATGTGCCCCTGCTGCCACTTTTTCTGTCCTTGTTTTCGATTAAAACATTTCTTTGCTGTTACTCTGGCCGCTGGGGCCTTGGTCTCAGCAGCCCGGAACTTTCTCATCCATTTTTATGTAGCTGAGAAAAAAAACAAGAAAACAACAACCAGGAAAAAAACAACAACAACAACAAAAGAAACAAACAAAAAAACCCTGATGCAGTCAAAAGCAGATGGAATTGATGCATGTTTGGGTAACTCTTCATCTGTTCCTTTTAACGTCACTAACAGAATTGAAACAACCGTAGACGTAGTTGATTGTTAACTTCTGGCGGCTGAAAGGTGCACACTATCGACTCAGGACAGGCCCTCTCAAGCCTTGTCTTCCCCAGAGTAGCAGAAGCTGCCTGGGTAAACTGAGGACTCTGAGACGTGGGAGAACCTTTCTCCTCCAGTACATGTCATCCGTCGCGAAGGACTTAATCGGCATGGCTCACATCCTACTTTTGACGGTTGGGAAAACACAGCGCTCCCCACTTTCACCCCAGCCTCTGTCCTTGAGACGAGATTGGCACCAGAGGCCTTCAGACTGCGAGTTGCATGGAGGGCAGTGTTGCAATGGAATATTCTGCTCCCCTCACACCAAGCATCTAGGGCCTGTCCCTTTCCTGCGTGAGAAGGCTTCTCCAACGTGCTCACTGTCTCATGCAGCAGAAGCCACGGGAATTGCCCCATGTACCCTTCTGCAGCCGTCATGAGGGCAGGATAGGGTCTCAATTTCTCTCAGGCCTGAGCCTGTGCCTTCCTTAGAAATGGCTGCCCACTGCTGTCTTGAGCGTGGTTTGCGGTGCTCTGCTCTGTTACTCTCTCTGCTGGCTGATTGATTTGCATGCCAGACTACAGATGACAAACTCCTTTTAAAAAGCTGTGTGGAAGGCTGTGGATGGTGGATAAACCCAGAATCGGAACCACAGGGTCGATCAAAGAAATGCATGTAAAACCAGTTGAAGTTTAAATGAAACAATGGCAGCAGTGCATATGTGCCAGGCCGTCTACCAAACGCCTGCCAAATTTTCTCGTTCCCTCACCTTCAGTATGGAGATGTGCCCTTAATGGCATACAGAGACTGCAAATGTTCAGGGGATGCTCCCCTCCTGCAGGGACAGAGGGCAGATGTGGCCTATGGTAGCAATCAGGCTGGATTGTTGGGGGCGGTGACTGGATTCGGACTCCTGTAAGTTTCCAAGTATCGCTGCTATTTTCTCATTTAAATTTCAGTGGTTTTTATGGGTGATTATACAGGCAGATGTTGGTCCCCTGCCCCGCCCCTTTCTGACATGCTGTGCTTATTAACCTTCAGAACAACGACAATGAGACTGCCCTGCACTGTGCAGCACAGTATGGCCACACGGAGGTCGTGAAGGCTCTGTTGGAGGAGCTCACAGACCCCACCATGCGCAACAACAAGTTCGAAACACCTCTGGACTTGGCAGCGCTCTACGGGCGGCTGGAGGTGGTGAAGATGCTGCTGAGCGCGCACCCCAACCTCCTGAGCTGCAGCACTAGGAAGCACACCCCCTTACACTTGGCCGCGAGGAATGGCCACAAGGCCGTGGTGCAGGTCCTGCTGGACGCCGGCATGGATAGCAACTACCAGGTAGCGAGGCGGGCACCTCTCCTGGCACAGGGCTGATGCCGCCGGGCTGTGTGTGTGCTCAGCACGTTTCACATCACACTCACGTGCTTCCGTTCGTCACTATTCTGCTGTGACATCTTAGGGGCAGACGAGCTTTGTGGAGTGAGTCTAGCGGTTTTGCTTGTTTCTTTTCAGGGTGTGAGATACAGTCTTGAACCCCTGAAAAGAAGTGCTTGTGGACCATCTCAAACCAGAAGGGTTCATTGCCTTCCCATACATGGCCCCCACCTCCCGCCCCGCCACCTTTTTTGCACTGCCAAAGCTTCAACTGCCAACATGACTTGGCACTCCTCTGTGATGGCAAGCTTCTCTCAGTACTTCCGTAAGCTTGGTGTTGACTCTCCCTGTGGGCCGTGAGGTGCTTTTATTCCCTCTTCTCAGAAAAGAGGAGCTCGGTCAAGTTTTAGGAGTCAACATCCCTACAAGCAGTGGGGACTCATGCACGTGGCCTGAGATGGCACCCAAGTGGTCTTGCTGTGTGGATTTTTTAGAACCCATACAAGAAATGTTGGAAAGCTGAAGCCCCAGAGGGCTCTGTGTAGCTCGGTTGCCGCCCGTCCTTATCCGTGTCCCGTTTGTCACGTGACACACCAACTGTTCTCATGACGTGCTGCTGCGCTCTTGTTTGCCTTCCAGACGGAGATGGGCAGCGCTTTGCATGAGGCTGCTTTGTTTGGCAAGACCGATGTGGTGCAAATTCTGCTGGCTGCAGGTGAGGTTGGCAGCGCTGATCCCATGTGCCGGGCGGTGTTTGAGCCCAGCGTCTGTGTGTGGTTAGAGCTGTGTGACTTGGTCCTGGAACGCTGGACTGTTGATGGCTGTGGGTGAAGAATGTCGGTCGAGCTGCTTGAGAGCTGCGGGAGTCCTTGGGCCTGCCCGAAATGCTCACTTCCCTGCTCCACCTGCTGTCCTCCCAGGAATCGACGTTAACATAAAGGACAGCCGTGGCCTCACTGCCCTCGACACTGTGCGTGACCTGCCTTCTCAGAAGAGCCAGCAGATAGCAGCCCTGATAGAAGGTAAGGGCCGCTGCGCTGTCCGGGGCCAGGACCGCTAACCTGCACTGTGCGTGGTGCAGCCTCTCACTTTATTTTTTAAACCATCTTTCCTTACAGATCACATGACTGGAAAAAGAAGCATGAAAGAAGTAGATAAGAGCGCCACAGCTCAGCTACCTCTCCTCTCCAGCACAGATGCCACAGCACCAAAGTCTCAGGGTGAGGCGCTTCTCCTCAGCCAGGAAAGAGGGGTAGCCTGAGGAGAGTCGTCACTCTTGGGCAGAATGGAAAGTTCTGCATTCAGATAATTGCAGGGTGTTATTAGGATTTACTCAGTTCAGTTGTCTCCCTGCTCCCTCAAGTCTTAGCAGGCATGACGCAGATTTTGATATGGGTATTATTTGTCCTACTTTTCCATTTTCATTAAAAAAGTTGTTTTAATTAATCCAGGCCTTAACCCCAGCACTTGAAAGACAGAGGCAGGCAGCTCTCTGTGAGTTCAAAACCAGCCTAGTCTACATAGCAAGGTCCAGGCTAACCAGACTACACAGTAAGACCCTGTCTTTAAATTAAAAAAAAACAGAACAAAAGTTTTATATATACATATATGTGTGTGTATATATATGTAGTGATTTTTACTCTGACTTTCTGGATTCTTGTGGGGCCCATCACACATGGAAGCTTATTCTTTGTTACAAATGTCCAGCCTTAGCTTGGCTTGTTTCTTGCCAGCTTTTCTAACTTAAATTATCCTGACTACTTTTTGCCTCTGGCTTTTTTCTTTTCTTTTTTTTTTTCTTTTTTTCTTTTTGGTTTTTTGAGACAGGGTTTCTCTGTGGCTTTGGAGCCTGTCCTGGAACTAGCTCTTGTAGACCAGGCTGGTCTTGAACTCACAGAGATCCGCCTGCCTCTGCCTCCCGAGTGCTGGGATTAAAGGCGTGCGCCACCATCGCCCGGTGCTTTTTCCTTTTCTTACTTCTGTATCTCTTCCTTTAATTCTTACTCCGCGGCTGACTGGATGGCTGGGCGGCTGGCTGCTGACATCCTTCCTTGGGCTCTCATTCTCCCTCTCTTCCTCTGTCTCCTGTTAATACTCTGCCTGCCAGCCCTGCCTGTCCTTGCTCCTCCCATGTTATTGGCCATTCAGCTGCTTTTTAGGACCATCAGGTGTTTTAGACAGGCAAAGAACCACAGCTTCACAGTTAAACAAACATAAACAAAAGTCTCACACCGTAAAATAATATTTCCCAACATTTTATTTATATCTATAAACATAGTTTATATTTTTATAAATATAATATGTTATATAAAAACTATTATAAAATAGAAAAATAAAATATTCCTATATAAAATATAGAATATAAATAAAATATATTACTTGCATATAAATATAGTTTTTATATTTGTTACTATAACATAAATATATATATAATGCATGTGGCCAGGTCTGTTTATGTTCACTGCATGCATACATACAGGAGCTCATAAGGGTCAGAAGAGGGTGTTGGATTTTATAGATGGCCATAAACTGCCATGTGGGTGCTTGGAGCTAAGCCTGGGTTCTTTACAAGAACACTAAGTGCTCTTAACCTCTGAGCCATTTCTCCAGCTCCATGTCTGCTTTATTTTGGCCTCTACTTCTGTAGGGATGTGTAATGGGCAGGGTCATCTCAAGATCAACTTAGAACTTGTGTTTGCTGTTCCTTTCTATCCTAAAACACGTGGCAGCACTTCAGGAACTGTTGGTCCAATGAGGGTCTGATGGCTAGTCCTTGTGCACATGGCAGTTGTGGCAATAAATCATTGGTGTGGAAGTGGTCTGGGTGGTAAGTGTTCCTCATCAGCAGAATTCTGTAGTTTTTTTTTTTTTTAACTCTTTGGGAGTCCACCACCCAGCTCCCAAATAAGTACACAGAGACTTATTCTTACTTATGAATGCCCCGACTTAGCTTGGCTTGTTTCTATCCAGCTTTTCTAACTTAAATTATCCCGTTTCTCTTTAACTACACTTTGCCTCTGAGGTTTTTACCTTTCTTTATTCTAATATCTTTCTTTTCTTCCTATAATGTGGCTGGCTGTGTGGCTGGATGGCTAGTCTCTGGTGTTTTTCTGTCATCCTTTTCTTGATCCTCCCCCTACTCTCCAGCCTGGATTTCTCCTCCTATTTATAATCTCTGCCTGCCATCCCCACCTATCTCTCTCCTGCCTAGCTATTGGCTGTTCAGCTCTTTATTAGACCAATCAGGTGTTTCAAATAGGGAAAGTAACACAGCTTTACTGAGTTAAACAAATGCAACATCTTTGCATCATTAAACAAATGTTCCACAACAGAAACAAATGTAACACATCTTAAACTAGTCTTCCACAACATTCCCCCTTATTGTCTAAACAGAAATGTAAGGTTTCAACTTTAACATAGTAAAACTGTCTACAACAAAGACAGTTATCAAGTAAGAATTACATTTACAAAGTCCATTTGTATTTATCAGATTCAGAAAAAAATACTTCATTATCTATCTTAGTGATTCCAAAGTTTTATACCTAATTTGCTTTCTGTCATAACTAAGGAAAACTGCAATTATAACTATATAGTCTCCATCAAAGACTCCAGCAGGATGTCATATTACCTAACAACAGAGATATCTGGCTGCCTGAATCTTCTGCCCAAACTTCTTCTGCAATGGGGCATCCATTTTTGTCCTACAATGAAGCAAGAAATTTGAAGGACTGTCCCTTGTATTATCACAGTTCAGTGATCGCTTTCTTCTCTGTCCTGCAGAATGTCTGGCAGACTCATCTGTGAGGCAGGAATCTCAAAGGACTGTCCTACCTTGTCCTAACAAAGTTCAACAGTCATAGGCCATATAGCATATTGTCAGCAGTCAAGGCAAGAGCAGTTTCTTGCCCAAATGGTTAGCCTTCTCACATTGAAAGCAAACTCCATATGGATTTTCTTGGATGCCCATCATCCTTTTATGAAGTAAATTGGTGCTGCCAGGAGCAGATGTGTCTCATTGTCATGAAAATCCTTAGGTCTTAAACATCTTAAATACCATATTCTGTAGGTCTTTGAAGTGTTTGAAATTCACCTATCTGCCTAAAATAGACCCATTTTACCTTGAAAACATACCTAATGTGACTGCAAGTTTGATTATTATAGTTTAACTTCTAACTTCATTTCTTTTTTTTTCTTTCCCAAGACAGGGTTTCTCTGTAGCTTTGGAACCTGTCCTGGAACTCTAGAGTAGCCTCAAACTATGAGATCCATCTGCCTCTGCCTCCCAAGTGCTGGGCTAACCTCATTTCTTAGTTATCCATTGTATTTTTTTTTTGAAGATTTATTTACTTATTATGTATACAGCATTCTGGCTTGATTGATGTATGCCCGCACACCAGAAGAGTGCGCCAGATCTCAGTCTCCATTGTATTTTAAAATGAGCTTCATAAGCACAATACCCCAAACAAGAGTAGAAATATGCAGTATAACAAAAATAACTTAAAATTTGTATCAATATACCAAAATCTATGCCAGTGCAAAATATCTGAGACAAATAGTTGTCTTTTTATCCTGTATTCTTATATTCTCCTAAATCATAACCAACATCTATAACCCACTAAATAGCCAGAATCTACCCACACCCACCTCTTGGGAATGTGGGTGTCGTTCTCTAGACTGCTTCTTGTTGACTATGAGCAAAGGCATCTTTAGGGGGTTCCAGAAGAAATTGAGATAATGACCGAGTCCTGGGAAGAGCAGCAGTAACCTTTGTTGATAGATATCCCCTGTCAAGATTCAAAAGGTCTCGCCCATCACACCTGATCCATATCAACCTGGGAGGAATCCACAGCCTCTCATTTCTATGGAAACAAAAGCAGAACAAAACTCTTTTCCCAGGCAGTGAATTTTTGAGTTCCATTTTATAATTAAGCATTCTTCACCTATATAGGCTCGTTCATTTTAGCAGTCCCTCTTTCAGTCCACGTAAGGAGCTGTGGTTTGCTTTGCAAGGTCGGTGCAGCAGCATCCAGGATGCAGACTCCCTGTGTTTTCCATATCTGTGGCTTATTATTTTTCATATTTCTCTACTTCTCTCCCTAAAAACTTTAGTTTTAACTACTTGCTTTTTTTCTGTGACGTCTGTACCCTTTCTCTTTTCTTGAAGCCTGTGCACGTTGTTAAACACACTGTAACCTGCTTAGAGGTTTGCCTGTCTGAACCTGACTTTACTCTGCATCTCTGTCCTTTTCTGACTGCGTGAGCCTTTAAATTGCTAAGCGGCATGCCTAGGACCTCTGCCATAGCTTTGTCGATAGGCTCTGCCCACACCTCTGGTCTTGAGGGCCAAGCCTTGGGCCTGGTCAGAGGTAGGTGACAGAGAGCTGCGTTTGGGCCTCAGCTCTGTGCCAGTGCCCTGCACTGCGGTAGGTGCTTTGTTCTTAGTCTTGTGTCTCTACTTAGAGTGAAAAGGCTGTTTAAGTGTGCTGCTGTGCAGCAGGGTTTCTTTGTGTAACAGTCTTAGCTGTCTTGGACTTCATGGACTTCATTCTGTTGACCAGGCTGGCCTTGAACTTACAGAGACCCTCCTGCTTCTGCTTCCCAAGTGCTGGGATTAAAGGTGTCTGCCACCACTGCCTGGCTAGCAGAGTTCCTTAAAGGAGCCATATCCCCCTCCTTTCTTTTTCAGCTTTCTCAGGCCCTAGGTATTTGAGCCTCATGTTCTCACATTGGTATGCCAAAATGTAGTTGATTTTTTTTTTTTTTTTTTTTTTACTTTTTGGGGGCCCACCACCCAGATTCCAAATAACTAAACAGAGACTTATTCTTACTTATGAGTTCGTTTCTAGCCAGCTTTTCTAACTAGTCCTGTTTCTCTTTACGTTTTGCCTCAGGGCTTTCTACCTTTCTTTATTCTATATATCTTTCTTTTCTCTGCCTCTGCCTTGGGATTAACGGTGTGCGCCACCAGGCCCGGCCTGTCCAGCTCTTTATTAGACCAATCAAGTGTTATAGACAGGCAAAGTAACATAACTTTACAGAGTTAAACAAATGCAACATAAAAGAATACAACATCTTTGCATCATTAAACAAATGTCCCACAGCAGAGACAAATATAGCACATCTTAAAATAATATTCCACAACAGACTCCTTTCTGGTTTATGGAATAGCTTGTGGTATGATGAAAGGCAAAGACAAATAACTGCTAATTGACAGCTTCCCCTAGATGTAGATGGTAATAAACAGTAAAGCAACATTAGAAGGGGAGGCATGGAACAGAGTGGAAGTGGGCGGGCTTTGGACTCCTGGCCTGTCTTTGCTGGGTTCCTCAGCCCCCCCCCCTCCAAACTTTTCTTTGATTTTGGAATCTGCTAGCAGTGGGATCAATCGTTCACTGAGCTCTTAACTTTCGAGGAGCCCACACTGGTATTTGTGACTATTGCAAGGCACTTGGGGATGCCATTTCTAACAGTGCCGAGGAGACAGCATTAAGTCATACAGCTCCATGTCTCAGAAAGGCTTTGCTTTCCTCTGAATCACTTAAAGTGGGCTCCATGTTCAAAGACAAAACCCTGCCTCCAAAGCACAAGGAGAAGGCGGAGCGTGGCACACATCTTTAATCCCAGCACTTGGGAAGCAGAGGCAGGTGGATCTCTGTGAGTTCAAGGACAGCCTTTCTAGTGAGTTCAGAAGGCAGGTAAATATCTGTGAGTTTGAGGATAGCCTGGTCTTCAAAGTGAGTTCCAGGACAACCAAAGCTACACAAAGAAACCGTGCCCCGCCCCCCAAAAAAATCAACTATAATTTAAACCATTTTCAGTTACACATTGCCACATTTTCAGGTTAAATTGGCGTCTACATGGTATTGAGACACTGGAATGCTTACAAAAAACATAGGAATTACATATTTAAAGTAGTTTATTTTTTGTTGGGAATTGGACCCAGGGCTGTGTGCATGCTAAGCTGAGTCCTACCACTATGCTGCACTCCCTGTATTGAATCAGAGAAAATCAGTCCTCGTCCCTATCATTACAGTTCGGCCAGAGTGTCTGGAACCCAAGGCTCTGCCCCCGCCTCCTAATGATGGTGTTCTCTGTCTTCCCAGGGAGCGTGGAGAAAGCAGTCACTGAACTGATCATTGATTTTGACACACGCGCTGAGGAGGAGGGTCCCTACGAGGCACTGTACAATGCTGTGTCCTGTCACTCCTTGGACAGCACGGCCAGTGGGCGATCATCTGACCGAGATTCCGTGAACAAGGAGACCGAGGCCACAGGAGCAAGAACTGCTGGAGTCAGGCCTGTACGTGGCCCAGGCCTGAGCCTTCCAGGGGCTGTGGTGGCAGCTATGGGTGCTGGCAAGAGGAAGTCTGGTGCCGGCTCCTGTTTCAGAGGCCTGAGCTCACCTGCTGTTCTTTCAGGGGCTCTGTCTTGTCTCTCCTGTTCAGTGTGGTAAAGCTACAGCTCATACTGAGGTAGAAGTTTGCTTTTTCAGGCTCCGTCTGTGTAGCCTGTTTGCATCTCTCCACCCCACTGCCTTCACAGACATCCGTGTCTTCTGTTCTGGTTTAGCCTTGACGCTGTTCAAGCCTTTGGGCTCGTGCTTTGTTCTCTCTAGAGAGCAGGACTCCTCAGTGACAGGAATTGCTGTTCCAAGCCCTGCTTGCCCTACCAGCCCTGGGGAAGGGCATAGCAAGACCTAATCGGACAGTGTGTGCTCTTATTAGACAGTATGTCTGCTGGCTGATTCTTTCTTGGCCCCATTTCATGAAAGCGGCACTGTGTTTCTCTTGTCTTGGTCCTGCTCTGTCCATGGGCCTCCAGACTCCTGACTCACCTTCTCCCCCAGAGTCAGGGTGCCTTGTCTGTAGCCCTCCACACATTGTTATCCGAGTTTCTGTACTCTGGTGTTGTCTGACCCAGCTGGCTAACCATCTAGAGACAGATATGAGGGCGCATGTGGGGTTTCTCCTGTTGGCCTGCCCTTCTGGCCCAGCTCTGATGGACCTTTCTAACTGTGGCCTGGGAAAGGCCTAGAACTTCATGGAGTATTCTTTGTTGCCTGTCTGCTTGACCTGATGCAGTGGCAGTGTTTCCGTGTGGGTTTCAGTCAGCCCTCTAGTGTGGCAGCCTAGCAGAGTAGGAACTGCCAGCGCACTCCACACTCTGGTGAGTGGCAGAAGAGCATTTGCAAAGCATGGCATTTCTCTTCCCTGTTGGTATCTAACCTGTGTGAGGCTTTGCTTTAAGTGGTGCTTACAGGTGTCTCCCAGTAGGGGGCACTAGTGCCTTGCTAGAAGCCACAGCGTCCTGAAGAGAGCTGAGTAACCTTTGAAGGCCAGCCTCTGCTGGTTGTGCTAAGCAAAAGCCAGAGCATCTTGGAATGGATGCTTTGGCACGTGTGCATGCATGTGTTGTAGCCAGTCTTGTTCTCCTGTTCTGGCCTCACAGAAGGACTGACGGAGGCTGGTGTGGAGCAGAGAGGGCCCAAGTGCCAAAATTCAAAACAGCATCTTTGCCAATTTCTCTGGAAGTTTCTATCATTCGGCATTCCAAACTCCACCTGAACTGAAAGCCTAGGGCTGAGCCTGGAGCCAGCCCTGTCCTAAGTAAACCAACTCCTGCGTAGGAGACTCCAGCCCTGCAGAAAACAGTGAGGAAGGTGCAGGTGCAGTGGTTCCACAGCCTTCGGCTTTGTCACCAGGGTCAGTCTGGTCTAAGAGCTATACAAGAGCAAGTTCCAGGACAGCTAAGACTGTTCCACAGAGAAACCCTGTCTCGAAAAACAAAACAAAACAACAACAACAAAAAAAAATAGCCTGGTGCTCATGCTCTGTGTAAATGAGCAGGGGTGGCTCCCGGGGCTCCCTGTGACCATAGGTTATAATTGAGGGGTGACTGAAAACAAGACATGCTGGGCATGGTGGCACATGCCAGACTCAGAAGCAGGAGGGTTTCTATGAGGCCAATCTGATCTGCATAGTAAGTTCCATGAGACTCTGTCTCAAAAAAAAAAAAAATATAGTGAGACCCTCTCTCAAAAAAACAAAACCCTGGGGCTGGAGAGATGGCTCAGCGGTTAAGAGCACTGACTGCTCTTCCAGAGGACCCGGGTTCGATTCCCAGCACCCACATGGCAGCTCACAACTGTCTGAAAATGTAGTTCCATGAGATCTGACACCTTCACACCAACAAACATAATAAAGTTAAATAAATAAAAAAAAAGTTTAAAAAAAAACAAAACAAAAAAAAACAAACAAAAAACAAAACCCAAAACCCCCAAACCAAGAAATGTTTTGTTTTGAGTTGAGGGTAACCTCAAACTCTTGGGCTTGGGTGATCCTCCGGCCTTGGTCCCCTGACTAGCTGAACCTACAGATTCTAAGAGATTGGTGTGGGCTGAACAGTAGTGGTGCACACCTTTAATCGCAGCACTTGGGAGGCAGATGCAGGCGGATCTCTGTGAGTTCGAGGCCAGCCTGGTCTACAAAGCGAGTTCCAGGACAGCCAAGACTATACAGGGAAACCATGTCTGAGAGAGAGAGGGAGAGGGAGGGGGAGAGGGGAGAGGGAGAGGGAGAGGGAGGGAGAGATTGGACAAATGTTCCATCTTTAGCTGCTTTTCCCATTGCTTTCCCTGGAGTCTTGGCTTTAGAAAAGCTCTGGAACTGCGTCTTTTAATCTCAGGTTTCTTCTTTCCAGCATAGGCTGAAAGTTGAGCCCCTGCGTTTTGCTGTCAGGTTTTTGTGTCTGTCACATAGAGTGCTTGTGCCAGTGGGGCAGTTGTGAGCTTTCCATGCTGGTCCCCTTGCAGCCAGGAAGGAGGTGTTTATGGTCTTTGCTGCAGACATCAGAAACCGTGGTGCAGCTGATTGAATTGTGTCTGTGTGTGGGGTCCTGCATCTGCTCAGAGACTGGACCTTAACTTAAGGCTCCTGAGGAATTCTCTACGTAATCCTTTTTATTTCCAAGGACTAAAATAAGGGTAAGCCAAAAAGTTACATACTTGAAAAGGAGAGATGGTAGAATATTTATTTTTCTTCTGCAGAGGGAACGTCCACCGCCTCCAGCAAAGCCGCCACCTGATGAAGAGGAAGAAGAACGCGTAGATAAGAAGTATTTGCCCTTGACAGCCTCTGAGGTAGAGGGTTGGGGTCACCCCATCACTGACCTAGCATTTGTTAGATGGTAGCTGTGTGAGCTCAGAGGAGGCTTTGTTCTCTTCGCCTCTTTAGGATTTTTTTTATGTGTGTGTGTATATTTATGTGCACCACACGCCTGCATGGTGCCCGTGGGAGTAGGGTGAGGGCATCAGATCCCCGGGAACTGCAGTTACAGGTGCTTGTGAGCCACCGTGTCATGCAGGGATTTGAGTCTGGGTCCTCTGAAAGAGCAGTGCGTGCTCTTATCTGCTGAGCCGTCTCTCCAGCCCCTGTGCTTAGAACCCAGAGCCTTGTGTGTGCCAAGCAAGTACTCTATCCCTCACCCGTTTCCCCAGCCTATTTTTTCTTTTGTGGAGAGAAGATCGTTGTATTTGTGTGTGAGTGTGTAGGTACTTGTGCCCTACATAAAACAGGCACACAAAGTTATGCCACACTGTTTATGTGGGTGCTGGAGATTCCAGCTCAGGTCCTAAGATGCAGAGCAAGCACTCTTACCCCCTGGCCGCGTCACCAGCCTTGACTCCTTATCTTCTCATCGCCACTGCGCTTGTGAGGCTTGTGGCGCACCTGTGTTGGCATCTGGATCAAGGCCTTTCAAACTAAGAGTTCTGGTGCAGTGTTAGTGTGCTGGCCATATGGGAACCATAACTGGCTGTTGTCCGGGTGCCCCAGCTGAACAGTTCAACCTTTTGCCTTTACACTGTGTTTGACACAAGGTTCCAGTACCCTCGTCCTTGCCATTGTATGAACAGTACCATGTTATGAAGTTTTGGCGGCTGGGCCCCAGAGGCCTCCTTTCTGTTTTTACCCTTTCACTGCTTCCTGTGAAGACTGTCTCTAAACACGAATCAGGTTAGAGTTGACAACTGGAAAAGATAGGACTTTGGTCTGATTACTTTTGCTACATATTTTATTTGCAAGTTTATTAAATAACCAGATAAATAAGATATAGGAGGTATGTAGGAGGGTGAGAAGGAAAGAGGTGGTTATTTATAACAGTCTACCTTCTTTTCTCAAGACATGTTCTCCCTAAGTATCTCTGGATGGCCTGAAACTCATTCTGTATACCAGGCTGGCCTCGAACTCACAGAGATCCACTTGCCTCTGCCTCCCGGGTGCTGGGATTAAAGGTCAGTGCCACTATGTCTGACTACAATCTACCTTTTTAAAAAAGATTTAAAAATGTTTTATGACCAGAAGGTGGTGGCACACGACTATGGTCCCAGCACTCGGGAAGCAGAAGCAGGTGAATCGCTTTGAGTTTGAGGCCAGCCTGGTCTACAGACAGAGAAAGTTCCAGGACAGGCACCAAAGCTACAGAGAAACCCTCTCTCGAAAAACAAAATATTTTTTTAAATTATGTTACAGTGTGTGTGTTCAGAGGACAGGGTTTTTTCCTTCAGTTATGTAGTTCAGGAGACTGAACACAGGTTGTAGAGGCAGCAGCTCTGTCTGCTGGGCCATCTGCCTGTTGGGATGTCTGTGTGTGATGTGAGATTCGTCCTTTGAAAATGTTTCCTAATAGCCTGAAATTCTAAATCAGTTGAAGCAGTGTAGTTGATGTTTGGAAGACCATGACAGTGAGAGCCCTGAACTTTCCCATTTGCTGTTACTATGGATGCATAAATACAGAGGAGACATGGCCTGAGTCATTGTTCTCTTAATGATCCAGACAGGATTTTTTATTATTTTATTTTGTTTTTATGGTATTTTTTTTCTGGCATGTGTGTCTGATTGTCTCACTGTGAGTCACAACTGTGCCTGGGATCCTGAGAGGCTGCAGAAGGCATCAGATCCCCTGGAACTTGAGTTTCAGATGCTCATGAGCAGCCCACTGTGGGTGATGGGACTTACACTCTGGTCCTTTGCCAGAGCAGCGAGGACTGCAGCCCCACTGTCTTTGTTTCCAACTAGCTCAAAGCTTTGAAACGAAACCTCACACCGAGACACTGATGTCAGGAAACTGTAGGCCATTTTGCTTTGTTTACAGCACTGGGAGTATTGAACCTAGCAGTCTCTGGTGCTGAGGAAGGCTTTATGACCACCAGATCTAGGGCTCTGAGTCTGTCAGTCGCGTGACCAAGGATTTGACTGTGGAAGAGCTTATTCATCATGATGCCAGGATGAGACATCACACAAATGCACAGGTGTGCGTGCACACACACGCGCTACACACACACACACACACACACACACACACACACACACACAAGGTTTTTACTCCTCATGATGGATTGCCAGCTGCCATGGGCTGGCCACGGTATCCTCTGTGTCAAGGCTTCTCAGCCACCCACACCCCAGCGGATTCTAGAAGCCACAGCTGGGTGACAGCTGGCTCCTTGCAACCTTTCTGTGCCCAAGCAGTGCTGCTCTCCACAGAGACTCTTGAGCTTTGAGCCATTGCCAGCCCTGGAGGACAAGGGAACGAAGAGTAAGAAGTAATTTAGTTAAAAATGGAATCCTTTCTTTTGAAAATCGGTTATTGCCATGGTCACTGTGACACAGTGCTGCTTCTGTGGGAGCAAGGATGTCTGGAAGAAAAGTTTATTGTTGTCTGTGAAGGTTTAATCCCCTAGTTTGCTCAGGGTCAGAACAAGAGGAAACGAACACCCTTGTTTCTTGGGCTTTCATTAGGTAGTTGACGAAGGGAAGGCGGTCCAAATTGGATGGAGGAAAATGAGGCCGATCTGGATTAGAATTCGAGAAACTGCGTTTAATGACTGCAGCTCTGCTGTGAACTTTACATAACCTTGGACAGGTCCCTGACCCCCCTCTGAGTTTATAGGAGAAATGGCTAGACCCAGGGACCCTAGCTGTGGTTGGTGGACTTTGCTCACATTTGCCTTCCCTGGGGGACTCATTTGCCACGGAAGTCTTCTGTCCTGCCCTGGATTGTAGGCCAGGCTTCAGGGCTGTAGTTACCTTCCAGGGAAGCATGCCTGGGCCTGGTGAGAACTCTTGCTGAGGCAAACACACTGGGAATTGGATTTCCAGGGCTCTGCCTGAGGGATCCTGTGGGTGAAAACCTGCCAGTGACACCTGTGGTGTTAAACTGACGAGGTGTGAACTACTTAATGGCCCCTCTTTGTTCCCTTATGTTCCTATAAAAACAGGGCTCCCAGAGTAAAGGCGCCTTTAGCATCCAGGTGACTCTCACGGTGGGGTACCTGCTGTGCTCAGCAGTTTTAGAGTGAGCCCATTGTTCTGCCTTGAGTGGCTGCCTGGCTTCTCTTCTGTCTGAGACTGGGGGTGCAGTCCTCTCTTCAGAAGGACTTGTGAGCTGTCCCCACAGAGGAGGACTGCTGGACACTAACCTGGTGCTTCTCCGGTGTACAGTGGGAGGTGTCTGTTTGAGGTGGGAGCTTCCCTTGTGGGGTCTGCTGATGTGTTAGTTGTGAGTGGGAATCCAGCCACCCCCACTTCCCTCCCAGGCTGTACTGTCTCTTCAGCAGCTCTGGAAGTGAGCTCTGGCTTGATTGCTGCAGCTGCTCTGTGATTATTCTTAACTTGTCTTTAAAACACATGGGCACCAGGGCAGATGAGCAGAGGCTCTCTACAGCCCCTCCCTGTGTCTCCAGCACTGTGGTTTTACCAACTTTGCTCTAATGCCAGGACTAGCTGAGGACCCCCTGATGCTCACCTACCCTGAGTCCTGCAGCTGGTGCATTTCCCACGTGGGAGGCACTTACCTGCTTGAATCAAGACCTTCTCCGTAGACAGAGCTGCTGTTCACCCACAGAAACTTGCATTGCTAGTTGTCTACTGTCAAGACGGTTGGAGGCACCTGAAGTCCCCCAATAGAAGGCTGGCTTTAGGGCGTCTGTGAAGAAGATAGTCTCACAAGCTGGCTGTGGTAGCTCATGCCTTTAATCCTGAGCCTTGGGAGGCGGAGGCAGAGGATCAGCCTGTTTAAGATCAGCCTAGTGTGCCCAGCAAGTCCCAGGCTAGCCAGGGCTGCAGCAGCAGAGGAGGAGGAAAGGGAGGACGAGGACAGGGCATTTAAGTGGCAAGGGTGTTTTGTTTTCTCTGGAGGTGGAGGAAATGTCAGGAAGCCTGGAGAAAGGGCAGTTGCGGTGCATTCTAGGTAACAACTGCTAGGAAAGTATTCTCACAGAGACACTGTAGGGGAGGCAGAGAAGAGGGGCCTGGAGTTTATCTTTTTTTTTTTAAAGGACAAAATGGGCCAAAAAAAAGGTTTAGTCATACTGTGGAGATTTCCCATACAGGAATTATTCTTGGCATTTCTCTTGCCAAGTCAAAGTACATTATCAAGAAAAGGATTTGACTCAGGTGGGCTACCAAAAAGCGGCTCCATCTGTCCGTTAGCTTCTGGTTCAGGGGCTTCAGCTGCGTCCCAGTGGGCCCGAGGGAAGATCAGGGGGTGCCGGGCTCACGCGATGACAGCCCTTTGCTGTAGTGCCGCATAAGCCAGTACTTCACTCAGAGAGGAGTCCTAAGGACCACCTACCCACCCACCCACCGGGCCCATCCCTGCCTCACTGCACGTCAAGCTTCTGGCGTGGTAACCTTTGGGGCATGCGCCATAGCGCACGGTCAGCTCAGAAAAGCTCCTGGGAGTCCGCAGGGTCCTGACTCTCCTTCCCTTCCCTGCTTCGGCCTGCCTTGCAAGGTTGTGGGAATTGGAGCTTTGTTGTGTACCACCCGTCTCTGCCAACAGATCCTGGGTGTTTCTGTCTCCTTAGGCCCTGGCTGTGAGACCCAGGACCCAGAGCGATGTCTCCCGGGAAGAGGACGAGCACCCATATGAGCTGTTGCTCACAGCAGAGACCAAGAAGCTGGGGGCCACAGACGGAAAGACTAAAGGTATTCCCTGCTTCACTCCACAGCACAGGGAGGGATGGTGGGAGGGCGGGTGCTGCAGATGTGAGTCACGCAGCTACGGTTCTTAAGTCTGGGGCCCCATGGTTTTTCTCATCAATACCTAGACTCCATGCTCTTGGGTGGATGGAGACACAATACTCCCACATGTGCAGCTGTGGGAGGGAGACAGCAGGCACCACTGTGGAGACTGATTGGAGCCTGTGGCACTAGCCTAGCAAGCTAGGTTGTTCAGGCCCATGCTGATGGCAGGGTGGACTCCGTGATTCCTGACCTTGGGACAGTATGCTCCTTGTTAGGGTCATGATGGGCTGTCACCTATAACTACAGTGCTTTGTCACTGTGGCCCACCTATATTGCTTCAGCAAAATCCATTCTGGAATTAAGTTCCAGCCCTGCAGAGGGAGGATGCATGAACACCAGCGGACTGAAGGGCAGTGTCTGGAGGGAAGCTGCCTGTCCCTGCTCCACATACTTACAGCTATGAGGTCCTCCGCCATGTATGCCTAGTGCCTCCTGTTGACTCTATCAGTGACTTCTGTTTCACCTCGGCCAGATACCCCAGCACACTGCCTCCCATCCTGCTCAGAGGCCTCCCCTGGATGTAGGAACTTAGGTCATAGTCGTAGTAGTTGTGTGTGTTGTGTAGTTTCCGTTGGGAACTTCCCTAAAAGGTTGTGATTTGGGTGCAGTGAAATGCATCTGTGTTTGTGCACAGTCTGTGAGTAACTGCAGCCAAAAACAAAATAGGGGACGGTCTTCGCACAGTGAAGGGTTTTCCTCTGTCCCTCTGCTTCCACTTGCTCCCTGCCTTAGGGACAGGGCATCTGATGTCTGTCCCAACGACGTTTCTTTTCTAGAAGGTTACATAAACGGAGTCTGTTAATGGAGGCCGCTGGTTGGTCCCCGGCTGCTCAGCCCTGAAATGTCACACAGACACTGTATTAACTAAATCACTGCTTGACCCATTAGCTCTAGCTTCTTACTGGCTAACTCTTACATCTTAATTTAACCCATCTCCATTTATCTGTGCATCACCACGAGGTCATGGCCTACCAGAAAAATTTCAGCACATCTGTCTCTGGTGGAGCTACATGGCTTCTCACTCTGCCTCCTTTCCCCCAGCATTCAGTTTAGTTTTTCCCACTATCAACCCTATCAGGCCAAGCCAGTTTCTTTATTAACTAATGGTATTCACAGCACACAGAGGGGAGTCCCACTGCAGGAGTCGTTCAGCGTGCACCTCTGTCCTGCACAGTGCATCTGAGATCCATCCATCCTGTATTTTCCGTCATTTCTTCCCCCTCATTGCCAAGTTGTGTTCCTTTATAGAGGTGTGCCACAGTTTATCCTTTCCCTACCCAGGGCCAGTGAGTCATTTTCAGGTAAAACTCCTATATGTTACCATTTTTCATGTAGGCGCAGGTTCTCATTGGGCAGCCACTCAGCCATGTGCAGATGTCACACCATTCTGGATCCCCTGTGCTATGCTGTCGTCCCCAGGCCGCAGCATCAGCTCTGTTAAGCTTCAGCCATCCTCGGAGAGGTGGGACATCCACCTTCCCCAGCAGAGCGTCTGTGTGTGCCCCGGCCTCAGTGTCCACAGATACCTGCTGCTCTTTCTGTAACCAAATTGTGAGATCTTTATGTATTTTTGGCATAAGTTCTTTTTTTGTCTTTTGAGACAAGGTGTCGCTCAGACTGGCCTCAAACTCATGGCAGTTCTCCTGCCTCAGCCTCCCAGTGCTGTCATTACGTATGTGCATCGCCATGCCTGGCCGAATTGGAATTACTTTATTTTTATATTCATTTGTTTTGAACATTTTTCTTCTCTAAGATTTTTAGATAAGGTCTTATTATTATAGCCCAAGTTGACCTTGAACTCTCAGTGATTCCCCTGCCTCAACTTCCTAGGTGCTAACTAGGCTCACAGGCCTGCACCACCAGACTCTGCTGACTTCTTTATCGAATGTGCTTTCTTCTCAGTGTATAACCACACTTACCATGGCCTTTGGGAGCTTCATTTTAGAGAAGCTCTTTTTTTGATGGATAAGCTCGTGCGTTGGGGAGGGATATGCCTGATCTTGCGTACGTATGCATGTGTGGGTCTGTGCAGAGATCCGAGGTCGGTGTCCAGTATCTTCCTGTGTGGTTTCCACTATTTATTTACCTTTGAGACGGTGTCTCACTGTGGCTGTGTAGTTCTGGCTGACTAAAGCTTCTTCATACACCAGGCTGGCCTTGAACACAGATCCACTGCCTCTGTCTCACTGGTGCTGGGATTAAACGCTGGTGTCACCACACCCTATCTACCTTATGTTTTGTAACAAGGTCTCCTGATGAAGGGGCTGCTGATGGGGCTAGACTGACTGACACTGAGCTGTTGGGTCCCCCAGCTGTGCTCTCCCACCCTCAGCCAGTGCTGCTGCCGCAGATACCACACTTGGCATTTTTTTTTGGGGGGTTTTTTTTTTTTTTTTTTTTTTTTTTGGTTTTTTCGAGTCAGGGTTTCTCTGTGGTTTTGGAGCCTGTCCTGGAACTAGCTCTTGTAGACCAGGGTGCGCCACCACCGCCCGGCGACACTTGGCATTTTTTAGGATGCTTAAGATTCTGACTCGGCTCCTCCTGCTCACACAGGGGGCACATTCTTAACCGGGGCATCCTCCTAGCCCCAGGGGCATTCTTTTTTGTACTTTCTTCCAGAAGTGTTCTAACTCTGAGCACCCTTGACGCCATATCAAACTGCTCACAGCACCTTGTCATGCTGCAGGGATCCAGTGCCCACTTCTGATCTTTCTGGGCACCTACACACACAGCGTATTCACTCACAGAGATACATACATTTAAATTATAAAACAATTCTTCAGAAAAAAATAAAATTAGCAGTAGAGGTTGGGTCAGCCAGCACATGCCTTACAAGCATGAGGCCAAACATGGAGATGAACATGAATTTTTTCTTCATTCTTTGTTCTTTGTTTTTGTTTGTTTGTTTTTTGAGACAGGGCTTCTCTGTGTAGCCATAGCTATCCTGGAACTCACTCGGTAGACCAGGCTGGCTTGGAGCTCACAGAGATCCACCTGCCTCTGCCTCCCAAGTGCTGGGATTTGGACGCCACCAGTGCCTGGCTAATAAAGTGAATCTCTAGTCCCAGTGTCAGGGAGGTAGAAACAGGAGGGCCCTCCAGCTGGCCTGGGTGAACCCCCAGATTCAGTGAGAGACCCAACCTCCCCAGACGTGGATTACACCTCAGTAATAGCACTGATGATCTGTTTGTGCACACACATACGTCAGTGTGAAAAGGCACACAAACACATATGCTTGAGGAAACAAAACTGGCAAATGCATTAACTTCTGAAGATATATAGTCTACCTACTTAGCTTCTGAGATGCCTATGTTTTTGTTTTTCAGTTTTCTTTTTTTTACATTAAAATTAATGGCGTCTGGCTGAGGTGGTACAAACTGTTGTTCCATCATTTGGAAGACAGAGGCCAGAGGGTCTTTTAAATCTGGGAATTCAAGAACATCCCGGGTGTGACATAGCGAACACCCCCCCAGCTCAAAAAGGAAGAAAATAAAACAGTGGTAGTAGAAATGCTTCTTGTGTCAGGTGGTGGTGCACACCTTTGTCTCTGTGAGTTCAAGGCCAGCCTGGTCTACAGAGTGAGGTTCCAGCCAGCCAGGGCTGCACAGAGAAACCCTGTCTCAACAACAAGAAAATGAAAGAAAGGGAAACGGAAAGAAATGCTTCTTATGAATCCATGTTGTTTGGTGGGAGCTTCACTCCAGCCCCTCGCATCCATTTCCAAAGAGTCTGGAATGTTCAGATGGAAGCTCCACCCCAAGACCCCTCCCCTGGAGCTGCCTCAGTCCAGACTCTGTCCCCGAGAAAGCACCCCCAAATGATGACCCCTCTCAAAGATGCTCAAGACCACTCCACCTGTGGTTTTCCGGTCTTCCTTTCCCGTCTCCTCTCTGGGAGGCTGGAAAGCCATCTGGGAGCATTTGTATCCATTAAACCTGGACTTTTTCTAATGTGGTTTGATTTGGTCTCATGTGGATTGCTGCGTTGGCGGAGAGGTTTATTGGGGTGCGGAAACTTTTCCTCATGATGTGGTGTGGTGGCCCTGAGAGGGGAGGCGTTTGAAGTTCACTAAGGCTGGGAGAGCAGCAGGAAGAGTGGGGTTAAGGCATGGACATACACTGCCTCTTGGCATAGCCGCCGGCCTATGCAGCTCTCACACTTCATCTGAAGGAGGAAAAGGCAGGAGCAGGAGAGTAAAGTGATGGACTAATCATAAACAGCACGTGGGAATGACGTCAGGAGCTTGCAGCCAGCCTGACATGCAGCGCCTGTAAGAAGCTGTAAGGTCTTATTTAATAAGCAGTGTGCCACCACCCCTGGAGGAGCATGCAGAATAGTTGGGGGAGTCTGGAGATGCAGAGTCAAACTCAGTAGGGACACAGACAAATGGCTCAATCACCCTGGCACTGTGTGTGAGGCAATTTGAACTGCCTAGGATCCCTACTCACCTCAGGGCCCTCGGTCTTGGAGGGCAGGGATGCTGGGCCTGTGGCACAGGAGAATTTCCACCAGATGTTATTCATACCCACGGACCTGGAAAAACCCAGCCATAGGAGAAAATGTTAGCAGGTCCTTGAGGCAGAAAAGGCATGTCCTCCTAAAGCACCAGGCCCACATGGCATTTATGAACATTTTTGACAAGTGGGGATGTCCCTCTGTGGTTTGTTGAGCACTCCATGCTCCCGTTAATGTTTGACTCTGTGCACTGGCATCCCAGGCCTGTGACCACTCAGAATTGCACGACAGCTTTCCTAGGCTGTCGCTATGGGTTTGATAGCACATGGGAAAGCAGCCAGGGGATCCAGCGCTGGTCTGTGAAGTGGAGGTTTAGCATGGGCAGCGGTGGCTGATCTGCAGGCAGGGGCGCACGTGTGCTGTCTGAATTCTAAGGGTTTCCAGGTGCAGGTCTCCCTCTGCTCCCAAACGTGAGCCTTGGTGACTCCAGCAGCCTGGTCTCTCCCATTCTCAGCTTGGCATCACTGCTATTGGCTAAGTCAGAATTCAGAAAGAAAACAGTGCCAGTGTTCAGTCCCTATCTTTACTTGAAAGTCCAGGCTGGCTTTTCATGGCCGAAGTGTGGGAAGTGTGCATGCCTGAGCGTGTCAACAGCGTGGCAGTTGAGTCTCCTCAGCCCCTGACGTAGCCTCCTGACCCAGCCAGGCTGGGACCAGCTCCCTTGCACTCTTGCTGCTTTGGGGTTAGAGTAGTTCTTTTCCCTCTGATCAAATAAGCCTTGTGATTTTCTTGTATTCTCTTCCACAGAGTGTTTTGACAGTTATATATACATACATGGACATGTGTGGTCAATACAGAAAATAGTGGAAAGGGGCAGAATATGTTAAATTCATATGAAAGTGGTACAAAGAAAAAGTGAGACAAACTGTGTCCACGTAAGAGATCAGAGATAGCTTTATGAAGAGAAGGTCTGAGCCAAGCCCAGAAATAGAGACTTCAGCTCAATAGGCGAGACTGGGGAGGGAGCTGACCAGAGGTTCCAGGCAGGGGCGTGGCTCATGGCAGGGGTGGGGGTGGGGGGAGGTGGAGAATTGCCTGGAGCACAGCCAGCACTTGCAGTTTGGCTGGAACAAAGAGAACTTGTCATAGAGTGTTGGATCTCAAATGTCAGTCTTTCTTCCAGAGACAGAGCGGTACTGTTGAAACTCTAGGAGTGGGTGACAGCATAGGAGCCGCTCTTTAAAAGGACAGAGCTCTGGAGTCTTGGCTCGGGAAAGGCTGGTGCAGGAATAGCTTGCAGCCAGGAACCGGCATGAATCTCGGAGGGTAACTAGAACCTATCCTAGAGGGACAGAAGGAAGTTGTGGGGGGGGGGGGGAGGGTGGGATAAGGTTTCAGGGGTAGGATGACAGGAGGGTGCCGCCAAGTGTGGGTGCTGAGGGAGGTTCTGAGGTTTCTAGCCTGGCTGAGAAAGTGTTATGTAACCAGTGCGGATGGGGATTGGGAAGGCCGTGATTGAGGGAGAACATCTGTGTGGGCAATGCCTGGAGCACCAGAGACGGCTTCTGAAGATTAGGAGAGAGGCTGAGGTTAGAAGGCGCGAGCTGGAGAGGAAAGAATGGGAAGCAGCAAACTGAATGATCTCTAAGACACGAGCACAGGGCTGCTGGGTGGAAGTCTGTGTTTCCACAGACCTGGGACCTGTTGCTTCCTTTTTGACTGTTCACTTTCAAGTCATTAGCATGGGAAGGCATTTTAAAGATAGTCCCTAAACATTGAGCGTGTGACTCGAATAGCCTTAAAACCTGATGTGCAGGTGAGCAAGACAAGAGGTCACAAGTTTCACACCAACACAGACAGCGGAGTGAAGCTGTCCCAAGCAGCAACCACAGCCTTTATCCCGGGTGGCAGGAACTCTAAGAATGGCAGGTCAAGGAAGCAGAGGAAAAGGATCATGTGGTTACCATTAGCACTGTGTGCAGTGACTCCAGGATAGGAGGACTAGAAAGTGTCGGGTCATCAGAGGGCTGTTGCTACATCCTAGTGGTGCAGGGCTCCTCTGAGACAAAGGGGTGACACGGGACAGGATGGAGCAGTTACAACCTGTCTTGCAGTCTTCTGGGGAGACTGTCACGTCCTCCAGAAGGTGCTGTGGGTAAAGATGCTGGCTTGAAATAACAGAAGAGACAGTCGCTCTGATGGTGACATCAAAGCGTTCAGAAAGAAGGAAGAAGGAATTAAGTTGACCCTGTCAGGTGCTGAGGCTTGCATCAGAACACTTGCTTGCTTGCTTTTGGTCAATGGCCTTCAGGGTCATTTACCTTCTTGAAAGTTCAGTTTCTGTGTAAATAAGGGGCGCCAGTTCTTCATGGTAGTTGAGAATTCTAGTACCATGAACACAGAGCAGAGATTCCTAGAGGGAAGCCTCAGGAACCAACTAGGTGAGCAGAGTTTACCAAGGGAACCTGGGGGAGCCAGTGTGCTGAGCAGGGGGAACCTTGAGGAGTGAGCACGATGAGCAGAGGGACCCTGGGGAGCTGGCGGAGTGAGGTAAATCTAAGGAGGAATGGGTTAGTTGTTTCTTGAGACTGGAGCGGGCTCAGCCTTGCAGCAGCTGCAGAAGAGAAAACAAGTGGCTGTGAATGCCCAGCATTGGTTTCAGAGCTGGGGCTTAAACCCTGATCCACAGAGTCCAGACCCACTACTCCATTTCTCCACCCGAGGGGCTGCAGAGACAGAGGCGGTCATACACTCACACCAGAGTCTCAGGGTGTCCTCATGCATCCCAGCTGTTCATGTTCTGAGCAAGATCCCAAGAGTGAAGGTCACTGGGTGGACGGTCACTTGGACCTCTTGATGCCTATCCATCATCTGTTCTATTCTTGGGTTGCTGTGGACTGGAATGGACTCCTTCGGATCCTAGTCTGTAGTAGTGCCTGCGTCACGTGGTCAGAACCTTTCTCCTTGAGAAAGTGTGTGCCGTCAAGAGCAGTGCAGCCTGTTGGGACTGCTGGACACAGATGCCTTCAGCATGTCCTTTCTTGCTTTTGTTGAGACAGAATCTTGCTATGTAGCCTGACTAACATTGGATTCAGAGCAGTTCTCCTGCCTCAGAATCCAGAATTGAATTACAGATTTGAGCCCTGGAATGGTTTGAAAAAGATGTCTTTCACAGCTTTGGACGTTGGAGTACTTGGTCCCCAGTTGGTAGCACTATTTGGGAAGCTCAGGAGGTGTGGCCTTGTTGGAGGAGGCGTGGCACTAGGGCAGCAGTGGAAGTGTAAATAAAGGTTTACACCATTTCTAGTTCACTCTCTGTGTCATGCTTGCTGTTCAGAATGTAAGCCCCAGTTTCTTCTATTAGTTGCCTTGGTCATGGTGTTTTCTTCCGGAAATAGAAAAGTCACTTAAGCCTCCACGTTTAGGTTAGGTACAGTTTTTGGGGGACAGACAACGCACTAGCGTATTAAGATCCTGATTTCAGCCACGCATCATGGCATGCAGTGTAGTTGGCAGTGCTGAGGTGCAGAATGGCGAGTTTGCAGCCAACCTGGGCTATAGAGTTCTAAGCCATCCAGGGCTACCTAGTAAGACACTGTCTCAGCACACACAGAGAGGGAGGTGGGACAGAGGGGGTCAGACAGACTGACACACTAAAGTTCCTGTGACAGATTTGCAGGCCATACTTTCTGTGCCTGGCGGAGGTTCCTTCCCTCCACAGATCTCCTTCCTACACAAGCTCCTCTCCCTTCTCCTGCCCACAGCCTTCCCTGGCATCTCTCTGCTGTTGGCATCTGCTTCCCTTTCTTCATTGATGGCTGGCATGAATGAGTGGCTGTCTCAAGGGCTTCATTGTCAGCTCCCCCAGTAAGCAGCCAGAACCTTCTCTGACTTGGGTTTTGAGCCCTACCGGTTCGGTGAGCCAAGAAGTCTCCCAGTGCTGGGCTATGGAGTTCTCCTTCTGTGGCCCCTTCACCACCCACAAATGGTTCCCTAAGACCCTGGAAGCTGATGCGGAGGAGCAAAGGCCTGTGTCCTGCACCCAGGCCCCTTCCTGAATATCAACAGGGATAACAGATGGCAGACCCATCCACTTCTCCAAGAAAAACACTGTTACCCCGAACCTTCTTTGTAGCCTCAACATATAGTCAGCAGGCAGCTTTGGCCTGGTGCCCATTGTCATAGTGTGTGTGCAGCTATGAAGTCATAGCTTCCTCAGGCCCCAGTTAAACTGAATGGAACTCTTCTTCTCTGTTTTCTCTACCTGGAGAACTCATTCAGGTTGTCTTTTTCACAGTGCAGGACCTGCCCTGTAGAGTATAGGATTAGTGAATGGAGGGTGTGAACTCCAGAGTGGTCAGATGTAAAGAAGGGAGGCACCACAGTTCATACTTCTGAGTTCCCATGGATTAGTGATCAGTGTAATGAGTGAGTTGGCTGCTCCTCTGCCTGCAGACCTCCCCAGAGCTCACCTGGAGGGAGCTGGTTGTTGGGGCCTGTAGAGACTTTCTCAGGAGAACCAGCAGTGTGAGACCTTAGCATGCCCCTCATGTATGTGACACGCTGGTCATCTGCACCCCTTCTCCCCAACTTCCTTCCTTGTGTTGTATACTGAGCCTCCTCAAGGACCTTGCAGCTGCCAGTGGAAAAGCAAGAAAGAGTGGAGTGGGAGCTGCGCTCTGCAGCAAAGGAGGCACCAGGCAGCACTGTACAGCATCCAAGGGACAGGTCCCATCTCTGATTGTGGGGACTGGGATTCTCATCACGGTCGTGGCGGTTGGGGGATTTTTAGGCATCAAATAGTTCAGCCAGAGTCTCAGCAAGATGTCTGACCACACAGCTAGAGAGGACAGAGCCAGTTCTTCCTCCTGGGTGAACCTCTGCCCAACCACCCTGGGCAAAGTATGCCGTGCCTGGGGCCACAGATTACTCGTCTGTGAAAACACTGGCACCACACACTCTGCTCTGTGGCGCTCCAGCCCCATGAACGGTTCTCGGGCTGTTTGGACAGATCAGGAATTCTTTGGTTCCATGCCATGGAAGTGGCATAGGGGCCACTTCTGTGCATGCAGGACGATGTGCTTTGGAATGTGGTTTACTGCCGGGCATGGTGTTGCCTCAGCGGGTGAAAAGCTGTTACAGGACCGAGTTCCCACCGGGTGCCTCAGGGAGGCGCTGACTTGAGACGGGGACTCGGCGCTGATTTACAGGACTTCATGGCAGAACTTTCTGAGAGTGTGGCAGTAGTTGGCGGTGTCAGGTTTCTAGGGTGTAAGGGAGGTCTCCCGGGAGCAGCAGCTGTCTCCTGGTTTGACAAACTAGACTGTTTCCTTTTCTAGTGGATCAGCTAAGGTTAAACTTAAACAAATATGATCGAGCAGCTGGGAGGCCTTGGCAGGAGTGAGGCTCACACATTCTCCAAAAGAGAAAAAGGGGGAAAGTCTGTTCCTGCGGAAGGATGAGGCGTGGATGTGGATCTGAGTGGCCTGGAGGAGAAAGGAAGCAGTTACTTCCCCCTCCGTTTTGTTTTGCACTTTCAGTTAAGGAATTCCAGAAGTTGCAGGTTGTGATCATGACCTCCCTTTTCCCCTCGCAGCTGCTTGCCAGAGGAAGGGCGGGCGGGTGACTCTAAATAACACTGGCCTTCATGGAAATGTATCCAGTGTCCCAGGAGCCACTCTCGCTGGCGCACTCTCGCTCCCTGTCCCTCGTTCTGTCCTTACTCTGTCCTTATGTGTGTCCTTTCTGTCTGTAGTTAGCGCTTCTCCTGGCCTTATATAGCAAGGTCTGGTCGGTAATGTTAACAGAGGTCTAACGGGGATGGCTGCCAGGCAGCATTAATCAGACCAGTGTTTGGAATTTCATAAATGCTCTGACTTTGGGTACAAATTGAACATGAACAATATGAAACTGTTTTCCTCCCTCCTCTCTTCTGTTCTCTCCCTCCCCTCAGCCTACCCAGCCTCGCTCTTACTCTCTGTTGTGAACTCTGCTCTGCCATCACGCGCTGCATAAGAACTCTGTTGATTCTTACCACGTTTAATTTTTTATTTCTCTTTGTCCACTCCAAGACCACAGGCGGAGCAGCGGCAGCCGGAGCCAGGACTCTGTGGAGGGGCAGGACGGGCAGGTCCCGGAGCAGTTCTCAGGTCTCCTACACGGCTCCTCCCCAGTGTGTGAGGTGGGGCAGGACCCTTTCCAGCTGCTTACTGCCCCCAGCCAGAACCACCCAGAGTCCCCCCAGCAGGACGCCTGCCACGAGGCCAGCATGCAGCTAGAGGAGCCGGGCATGCAAGGCACTGGAAACCCACAGCCCGGCGTCCTGGACCAAAGCAAGAGAGTGGGCTTCCCAGCAGGCCTGAGTGCGGCAGCCGGCCGAGCACACCTCCAGACTCTGACTCACACAGTCGCTCTGCACCCTGCTGGGGCTGAGGAAGAGGAGGACAGGAGCGGGGCCAGAAGCCGAGCCCCTCCCACTAGCAAGCCCAAGGCTGAGCTTAAGCTCAGCCGCAGTTTGTCAAAGTCTGACTCTGACCTCCTGACCTGCTCTCCCACGGAGGACACCACGATGGGGAGTCGCAGCGAGTCTTTGTCCAACTGCAGCCTCGGGAAGAAGAGACTGGAGAAGTCACCTTCGTTTGCCTCTGAGTGGGACGAGGTAAGGCTGCTGTGATGTTACAGAGAATTTGGGCTGGCTGACCTGGCTGTAGCTCATTCCAGCTACCCGTGTACTGGCTTCTGGGAGCAGGATCTGTGCCAGGGCTGCCCCTTCCCTGAGCACTGTGCTGAGAGTCTCTCTGGTGATAGTTACTGTGGCACGCTCCAAGAAGCTCGGGTCCCAGAGTAAATGTCCCTGAATGGTTAAACCTGAGGGTGGAGGCCCGGCAGGGCAGAACTGAGGGAGGGACAGTTCCTAGAAATGACATGTGTTTGGAAACATTTGGAGCCTCTCCGCCCGTCTCACTCCGAAGTGACTTCAGAAGGGCCCTGGCACTGGCTGTGTGTCCTTGGAGAGTCTGAGGGAAGAGCAGGCTTAGCAGGGCAGCAGGTGGGGATAGCCGGGAGTGCTGGGAAGAAGCTGTGGAGAGGGGTTCCAGGGACGATGTTCTATTCTGGGTTCCTCCTGGCTATTCTTGCCATGTTCTTGCAACCCAGAAGCCTCTCCCAGCAGATGCACGCAGCCCGTCCCACATTCCCAGCTCGGTTAGGCAGAGCCTTTAGAAGAATCAAAGATTGGTGAGAGAAAGCATTTCTGATGTGAGACCTAGGGTTCTCCTTAACCACTGTTACTAAACATTTGGGGGTAGAACCGACTAGTTCCCAGAGACTTTTAGAGTGCCCTGCTAGGCAGAAGAACATGTGTCTGAATGGTTGGCAAATACCCTAGGAATGTTCTTGCCTTACAGTCTGTTTGCTGGGACGGAGCTGCTTTTGAAGTGGACTCAGCCTGTCTCCCAGGAACAATCTTGGGATGCATTAAGCTCTCTAAAAGGAGGGGCAGTACAGCTGCCACCTGCCTGCGAACAGTCTGTAGCCCTTATGCCCAACCCAGCTTGATGGTGTCCCTGCTGCAAAGTTATGTAACCCAAAGCCCATCCCATTCCCAGTGTGGACCGGGACAGGGCAGGGCAACTCCTTCTGCTCCTTATCTCCAGATAAGACCAGGCTTGGGACTGTTGAGACAGACACAGGAATCCCTGTGCAAATGATTTTTCATTGCTTAGTCAAAGCTTTGATGGACCTGTTCCAGAAAGGTGCCAGGCTCTAGAGGGAAATCACTGAGTGAGGTTGCTCCTGGGTGCCCCAGATTACATTGAAGAGTATGTGTGTAAGAAGATGTCCCTCGCTGGGTGGTGCTAGGACTTGGGAGGCAGAGGCAGGCGGATCTCTGTGAGTTTGAGGCCAGTCTAGTCTACAGAGCAAGTTCCAGGACAGGCTCCAAAGCTAGAGAAACACTGTCTCGAAAAGAAAGAAAAGGAAGGAAGGAAGGAAGGAAGGAAGGGAGGGAGGGAGGGAAAAAAAAAAAGATGTCCCTCAGAACATCTTTAGGATGATGGCCCAGGAGTGGTCAGAGACATAGGGAGCAGTAAAGTCAGCAGACAGGGCCCAAGTGTGAGAGGAGCTTCCAGAAGGACCATGGAGAAGTGGAACTAGACTGCAGTCAAGGAGCTAACGACTCCTTTGCTTCAGAGCAGACTGAGGCTAGCACAGGAGGAGAAAACATGGACAGATCATTTGTTGGAGGTAGGAGAGGAGGACCTTGAGTTCCTAGAGTGTGAATGGAGGGGCACGAAGATGGTAGAGAGTAGACTTGGGACCAGACAAAGAGAGGCGAGAGTAGTATGGCGGGACCTGCTAGAAGGCGGCTTGGCTGGCTGACTTCCTCTTCATGGCTCCCTGTCCTAGGTGTCCTCATCCTAAGCACAGTCCACTCAGGTGTGGCATTGCCTTGTGTTTCCTCCTGAGAACATGGCAGATCACCATGGCAGTGCCTAGCCTGAGTGAAGCTGGCCACTTAGACCTACACAAAGTTTCTCTGCTTTATAATGTGATACGGTTTTTGTGCTGTTACCACCTTCACACACACACACACACACACACACACACACACACACACACACACTTTTTTCCAAGATGGGGTTCTACTATTTGGCATAGGCTAGCCTCAAATTTAAGATGTGCTTCCTGGCCACGGCCTTTAACTGCTTGACTGCTGGGATCACTGGTGTGAGCCACCATGCTGGGCTCTGGACTTCTGCAGGAAGCCTGAAGCTTCAGAAGCGCCACTGTGCTTCTCGGGTTTGTTTGATTGATTTGCTGGTCTGGTGTGTAGCCTGGCCTGGTCTTGAGCTTGCAGTCCTGGGGTTGTAGATGCGCACCACTATGCTAGACTGCACTGCTGCCTCTTAAATCCGAGAAAATAGGAAAGATTTGAGCATGCTGTGGGTAGTCCAGCATCCGTGTGCTGTTCTGGGGACAGACCCACAGCATGTGGTCCTGTGACCACCTGTGCAGTGCTGGGGGGCGGACCCATGTTTGGAAGTGCAGCGACAGTCTTTTTTGCAGTGTTGGGGATGGAACCCACATGCTAGATTCAGTACCCCTGAGCTACATCCCCAGCCTCTCAGCATTGCTTTTGAGCCATATTTGCTTGTTTTTGTGGATTCCTCTCTCTGAAAAAATCTCAGAAGTTGTTCGCTGGACTAGTCCTGAACCCAAGCCTCTGGTGGGCTGTCCCATATGAGGGCCTTGGTGCTGACTGCGTGTCCCCGCCCAGGCAGGGCCTTAGGCTGCATCACTGCATCCTCTGCCTGCTTAGCTTCTCCTTGGTGAACTTTGGGTCCACAGTCTTGGGGAAGCAGCTCTGAAGAAGACAGGGCACAGGCGCCTCCTCCCTGAGGCCTGGGAGGGAGACAGAAAGGTCCAGGGCAGCTGTGGCGTAGCACTGAGGAGTTACGGTGAGTCTGACTGGCGCTTCTAGAAGACAGTGCAACGTGGAGACATTTTGGGCCTGTGTGAATTTGGCTCTAAAGCCATTGCCACCATCCACTCCACATCCCGTGCATGTTTTCTACATCCTCAGGATTATTTTTTTTTTAAGATTTATTTAGTTATTATGTATACAACATTCTGCCTTGATGTATGCCCGCACGCCAGAGCAGGGCGCTAGATCTCAGTACAAATGGTTGTGAGCCACCATGTGGTTCCTGGGAATTGAACTCAGGACCTCTGGAAGAACAGTCAGTGCTCTTAACCTCTGAGCCATCTCTCCAGCCCCCCTCAGGGTTATTCTTTATTGTGGAACAGCCCCAAGTAGGGACATGTGGAAGTACCTAACACAGTTCCTGGCGTGCCCAAGGAGGTAGCTACATGGCAGATTCTAATATCATCACTTCCTGGAGCTTTGGAGAAACAACTGAATCTAGACTGTCTTCTGTACCTACCATCCATACTACTGCATGTACTACGGTCCTGTAGCACCTGTACTTTGTGTACTACGATACTGTGCCTGTAGTACCGCCTGCACTACAGGACGGTGGTTCACGAGTTGGTCAAGAGCCTGGAGATTGAAATATATACACACAGACAGAGACATGGATCATCCTTGAAACAAGAATGCCAACTTTATTGTGTTCCAGGGCTGCTTATATAGTGCCTTCCTTGACTATGGCCACGCCCTAGCTCCTACAGCTGCAAGCCCGCTGCTGAAAACCACTCCCCTGCGATCAGGGTCTCGTGCTCAGAGCACCTGCAAGCATAGGTTGTTCAGAGCAGCTGCAAGCACAGGAAAACAAGCTGTTTACTCTGGCAGCAAAGGGTCATAGAAAATTCGGGGTCTGAGAGTCCGCAGTCCCCAACAGTTTCAACCTTAGGAAAGGCAGCACTCTTTGTGGGTGACCCTCAGGTGGTGGCCAAGTGCCTGGCAGGCAGTGGCGTTCAAGCCCTTCATGTGACCCTCTTCCCATGTGGCTCGCCACCACCACTACAGAGAGAGGGAGCGTACACTGGCCTGGTGGAGCCAGGCAGACATCCTTTGGTCTTGGAGGGGCTGTGAGCCTCCTTCTCTTCCGAGAGAAGATGGGAGAGAACTCAACCGCCGCAGGTCCACTGAATGCATCTTATGCACTGTGACCAGCAGGGCTGGTTGGCTGATGGCCGAGGTGCTCTGCCTGACAGCATGCTTAACTCAGAGGTTTGGGGTCATGCTGCTTACTGCTGGTGATGTAGCCCTTGGTGAAGTGCCCTGGGCAAGATGACTTGTGAGTGCTGGCCTGGTGAAGATCAGCCTGCAACAGAGCATCCAGTAAAGACACCAGCCTGTTTCTTACGTCCTACCAGAGTCTTGCTAATGAAGAAGTAATGGAGTTTGCTTACTAAAGAGCTCTGCCTAAGAGGGCCCTCTGATGCCAGACTCCAGATGTTATCTGAGTTCTCCAGTCAAGTTCGAGCCTGACCCCTGCAGCTCACTGGCAGGTACACTGAGAAGCTGTGTATCAAGGATGGGGGGAAAACACATGTACCTCCCACATAGGTGACCTATGTGAATATTTGTTACATAGCCAAATTTGGTTTGTATGTTTACCAATTTATAATTTACTTTTCTTACCCAATAACTGCACATTGTAGGTACCTTTCCATGACAAGGTAGAATTTGGAGCTGGAGTCAATATTGTCCCCTGCCCTTGTATGTATGTTGCTAGGAATCTACCCCAGGACCCGTGCGTGCTAGTCCAATGCTCTGCCATCAGGTTGTCTCAGTCCCCTGGACCCGCAGGTTCAGTGTTGTTTGTGTAACTGCACTAGCATTGCTGGGCTTCCGAGATGCTGTGCCCAACACGTCCTCCTACCTTTCAAGTCCATTCCCTTCCGTCAACATTGTTAACCTGCCTGTATACTCTACATTGACAGTCCCAGGGAGAGCTAGGCTGGTTGTGTCCCATAGGTACCATTCCTATGAGGGGCCTTTTGCAGTAGCAGTTCTGTCCAGGTTCTAGTCCCTCTACCTTTGAGCATGGGTTCCCCACTGTGACTTGTCACTATCCCTGAAGCCTACCTTCCACCAAGAAGCTTAATATTGACACTGTTTGCATAAATAAATGCTGGCTTTTTGTTGTTGTTTGAGCATCTCATTTAGTAGCCCATGCTGGCCTTGAACTC